ATTAGGAAGATGTAATTGTCTAGCAAAATCTGGTCTTTGCCTTATCTCTTTAGAGTTTAGAATCCATTAACTTTGGCTTGCTTCCTAAAGATGGGGGGAATACAGTAGGCAGGAGAAGGAAAATTGGATCAGAGAAACCATAGAGGCTGAGGAGGGGTCAGCAGTTTACTGGAGGAGAAACATGAGTATTCTGGTTCTGTTAAGGGATAATGAGAAAGACTACTTGCTAGCTGTGAAGGAAGACGAGAAAGGAAATGTGCAGCCATGTGGCTCGTGGGTTCCTAAACAGGATCAGCTCTGAACACTGACTTTGCTTTCCTGACTCTATTTTCCATCTCTTTCCTCCAGTCGGGTGGCTTCATGGACATGTTTGGGATGATGAACGACATGATTGGTAACATGGTGAGCCTTGCCCCACACCCTTCCCTGGCCCTGCTCTCAGTGATGGCTGACAACACCGTGAATCCTCTAAGGCAAGAGAGAGACAGTATGCTAGTGAAGGGTAAAGGACTGGATAAAGTAATTGAAGCAGAGAGCCTTGGGACCCTGTATCTGCTGTCGTCCCTGCCTGAAGCAGCAGCAGCACTTTTATGTAGCATGCAATTAAGTCTCTGTCTCTTCAGGTCCTTCTTGCTTGTGATTGGACTCAGAGGAATTTGGGAGGGTAATGATGAGTCCTGATGTTTTTCAGTTGTTACATTGTGTGAGAAAGATACAGGCTAGAACAGGGAGCTGAAGGGCGAAATCCCTTCACCAGGGGGGATGCCTCCCCATTCAGCCCTCCCCTTCCTACCCTATCCTTAGGAACACATGACAGCTGGAGGCAATTGCCAGACCTTCTCATCTTCTACTGTCATCTCCTACTCCAATACCGGCGATGGTGCTCCCAAGGTTTACCAAGAGACATCAGAGATGCGCTCGGCACCAGGCGGGGTGAGCCCTCCTATCCCGGAGAATGTGGGATTGAGTGGCACCCACAGAAACCCTGGCTGCTTTTTTCGGATTGGGTTGTGGGTGGTGTGTTTATCCTGAGATGGTGTAGCCAGGGCTTTGGCAGGGGTGGCTGAGTGTGCCATGTTCTACCTCATCCCAGATCCGGGAGACACGGAGGACTGTTCGGGATTCAGACAGTGGACTGGAACAGATGTCCATCGGGCATCACATCCGGGACAGGGCTCACATCCTGCAGCGCTCCCGAAACCATCGCACAGGGGACCAGGAGGAGCGGCAGGACTATATCAACCTGGATGAGAGTGAGCCTTCCCTCCCACTTCCAGGCTGGCATACCCTAGTAGGGACTTCCCTACCCCATAAACTACTGGGCAAAGCTCTGGGGCAGCCCCATATTCTTTGGCTTTCTTTTTTTTTTTTTTTTTTTTTTTGAGATGGAGTCTCACTCTTGTTGCCCAGGTGTCCAGGCTGGAGTGCAATGGCATGATCTGAGCCCAGTGCAACCTCCGCCTTCTGGGTTTAAGCAATTCTCCCTCAGCCTTGCGAGTAGCTGGGATTACAGGCGCGTACCACCACACCCAGCTAATTTCTATATTTTTAGTAGAGACAGGGTTTCACCATGTTGGCCAGGCTGGTCTCAAACTCCTGACCTCAGGTGATCCACCTGCCTCGGCCTCCCAAAGTCCTGGGATTGCAGGCATGAGCCACGGCGCCCACCTGTCAGCCCCGTATTCTTACGGCATTTGGAGCCTCCTCAGCTCAGGGGCTGTGTCAGGTGGGGCTGAGTCAGGTGCTAGCAGTGTCCTCACTGTGAGGGGCTGACTGTGTCCCTGAGGGTCCGTGTTGATAGTGTTACACCCTTCTCCCATTTGGATCCGTTTTTTTCTTTCTCCTCTCTATCTTTTTCAAATCTGCAATTATTAAGTACCTAGTGTGCACATAGGACTATGAACCTGAAGAATAATCGCATTCTGATTTCTTCCTCCAGTAGGCCACCCTAGGCCTACCAGTGGCTTCCTGGGACCGTGTAGAAACCAAAAGAGCTAATGGAATTGCCGCCCCGCATCCCTGCACACACACTCAGCCTTCGCGGCTTTGGCGGGAGAAGCTATGGCTGGCTCGCCCATCGGCCTCCAGGAGTGAGGCTGCACGCGGGCCTCATGTCTACTCTGTCCTCTCCAGGTGAGGCCGCAGCTTTTGATGACGAGTGGCGGCGGGAGACGTCCCGATTCCGGCAGCAGCGCCCCCTGGAGTTTCGACGGCTTGAGTCCTCAGGGGCGGGGGGACGAAGGGCAGAGGGACCTCCCCGCCTGGCCATCCAGGGACCTGAGGACTCCCCTTCCCGACAGTCCCGCCGCTATGACTGGTGAGGGCCCTGGGCCCTCAGCCTCTCTTGTAAGTATCAGGGTAAGGAGGGCAGGGGTGCACCTGCAGATGGTCCTCTGCCATGAGGCAGGCGCAATCCAGGCTCCCATAGGAGCTGCGTTTGACAGTTCAAGTCTTAGTTGGCTGGAAAGAGAACAATGTTCTCACCAGAATCGGGGATTAAACCCCAACTCCTGGCCCTTACGTAAGTTTTTTCTTCCTTTTGACTTGTGTTTCTCTCTCTTTCCCCCTCCAGGTACAGGCTGAGAGGCTGAGAAGTCATCCCCTGAAATAACTTTTTCCTCTCTGAATCCCATGCCCAATTTAATAGTAAATTAACAGGCAAACCGGCCACCACCTCTCCCTGGGGGTCTCAGGGAGAACCTTTCACTGCACCCTTTCCCTTCCTTTTCCTTTCCTCCTTTAATCCCCTTACCATGATGACTCCGCCTCTGCATCTACTAACTTAATTTTTCATTCTGCCACTCCGTCTTCAAATCAAACGCCCTCAGCTTTCCCATTCTATTCCTGCCATGCATTGAAGGGTCTTTTGGGGTGAGCTCTGGGTTTAGGGGCCTCCTCCATCCCTCAGCTACCCTGAATCTTTGCCCACCTCTTCCTCAGAGCCCCCACTGAGGGGCCGTAACCCTGTCCAGGGCTGTGAAAGGAGCAGACTGGTTCCCAACTCTTTCTCCCTCCTCCTGCCCACACGCATCACAAGACTCTTCCCTACACCCTTATTTTTTGATTGGTGCAACTTGTAACTAGGTGTTTATGGAATAAAGGAGAATGGAAAAAAGACCAAGTGGAATGTTGGCTGTACTTTTGATCTTCTCCTGTTCAATTAAACCCTCCTGTCTTCTTTGAAGTTACCCTCTCACTTCCTCATTTCCACATGTAGACTTCGTACCTCAGCGTTCAAGCCCACATCTCCGTGGTAGGGACAGTGGGACCATCAGCACTGGCAGGTGCGGGTCAGCAGCACTTGGCTGGGCTAGGCCGGGGCGTGAGAACATGAGCACCTGCCTCGCTGGCTCTGCCCTCACGTCCTGCTGTAGCTTGGCTCTTGAGGGATGGGTCGGGCATCTCTCACTGAGGCCTGCAGAACTTGCTGCCCCTTGCGCCTTCCACAGAGTTTCCTTCCTGCACTGTGGGTGGAAACACCTTCAGATAACCCTACATAGGCCTTGAGAGGGGAGGAACTCTGGTCAGCAGCGTTCCACAAACCCTTCACCCACAGCAGTTGAGAATTTGAGCCCAGGGAAGGAGGCTAGAGGAGAAAACTAACGTGGAACCTGAGCAGGACTGGAAGGGTATGAGGAGCTCACATTTCTCAAGATGTTCACTCTTGCTTTGCCCAGCCAAATAGGTCACTCTGTTCCTCTTGGGAACTTACTTGATGACAAATGTGTAGGAGAGTCTGGTAATGGTTTTCTCTTTATAAAAATCTTGAGTTTTCAATTGGTAAGGACGCGAAGACACACCTAGGCTCTTGGTCCTCTCAGGGAGGGGAGGCTCTTCCCCTGTCTCTCATGGATGAGTAGATCGAAGAGGAGAAGGAGGTTTTGTCCAGTGGGTCAACAAGCAGAGAGATGAAGTTGAGCCAACAACCAGGCACTGGTGTCCTAGCCCAGTGCAGTTACTGCATCTCATTATGTAGGCTGGTGACAATGTATGGCCGGGTCAAGGGAACCCAGTGGTGAAAGAATCCAGGAATCCCAGAAGTCAAACAGGTGTGGGTTATTCACGACCACCTGGGTTCTGAACTGTGGAGGATGGAGCTCAGCAGCCATAGCCCTCATCGGTTTTGTTTTTGTTTCTGTTTTTGTTTTTTTGAGATGGAGTGTTGCTCTGTTGCCCAGACAGTGGCGTGATCTCAGCTCACTGTAACCTCTACTTCCCCAGTTCAAGTGATTCTCCTACCTCAGCCTCCCAAGTAGCACACAGGCGTGCACCACCACGTCCAGCTAATTTTTGTATTTTTAGTAGAGATGGGGTTTCACCCTGTTGGCCAGGCTGGTCTCAAACGTCTGGACTCAAGTGATCCACCTGCCTCGCCCTCCCAAAGTGCTGGGATTACAGGCGTGAGCTGCTGTGCCTGGCTTCACAGCCCTCATCTTTAAGTGAGTCTTGCCCTGTCCAGACAGGTACATGTCTGCTTCCTCTGGGAAAGGAGTCGTTTTCTTCACTCTTCTGAGAAGGCAGCAAGGTAACCTGGAGCTGAAGGAGCCTCAGTCCTTAGCTTTGCCACTAACAGCCTTGCAGTCTTGGGCAAGTCACTCACCTCCCTGGACTTGAGTTATGTGGGGCCCTTCTAGCCACAAAATCTCAGGCCCAGCCCCTCAACCTGGATTTCAGTTCCAGTGCCCACACACGCAGGTGCAGTCCTGAGTGTGACTGGAGCAGGGCAAGGCTGCCCTGACCTCAGTCCAGGTGAGTCAGTCCAGTGTTTCAGGGACTCCCTTGTTCAGGTCCTGGCCTTCAGGCACGTGAACTGATTTGTACCCCTGCTCCCTGCTGTAGGGTGAGGACCACCCTTCAGTCCAGCCCTTTTTCCTGGGGCCTCTGACTAGTTCTCAGCAGGGATATGTTGTGGGAAATCAGGTGTCAGCATCAGTAGAGTGAGATACTCAAGAACCAGCCCCCTGGCATGTGCTGGCCTGTCTGCCACTGGGGTAAAGGCCATGGGACAGGAAGCGGAACTCGCCCGAGGGACACGGATAGTCTACTTCCGGTCAGCTCTCCATCTGGGCCCAGCCTCACACAACGGCCACACCTGAGCCCCGGTCCAGGTATCCAAAGGACATGGGCAAATGCCTCAGGTATTTTCTCCACCCCAGAACATTACCGGTCGGAAGCGGCTGACACTGTGTGTGACTAAGCAGAATAACACAAGAGGAGGCAGACAGGCTGCAAACACACAAGCAAGACCTTGGCTCTACCACTCAGCCGCACTGTGGGAAAGACTCTTCCTCTCTCGCAACATCAGTTCCCCACTTTGTAAAGTGGACCTTTCTGGGTATGGGTGACTATGGATTCATACCTCAGAACTGAGCCCTGAGTGAGTGCAGACAGCGTCTGACACGCGCATGGGATATAAATACCATTCCACAGTCTTCTTTCTCCCTGATCACTCTCTCCCTGCCTTGCTGCTTCTGGATTCCCTGGTGGTCCCTCATCCCTTACTGCATCCTCAGGACCCTAAACTGCTTCCAGACACAATCTGGATCTCATCCTACTGGCCTTGAACAGCCCCCAGCCATTCACGCCTCCAGCTCCTCTATCATCTTTCACCCTCTCCAGACCTCAGCCCCACAGATCAACAGCAGAAACAAATGTCTAAGGCCACTCGCCCCTGCGAACATTGTTTTTTCTTGTGTAGACAGTGTTCTAGATGTCTCTTCTGCATTGTTAATTGGAGATGGCATGAGGACTAATTTAAATAGTTCTTCGTGTGAGTTATTAGCAATAATGTTTTAATCCTGTAGTCCACAACACTTTGTTTACACCTCATTTTTTAGCATTAATTAAAGTTTGACTTAATTTTTAATATACCTCTTTCCTATCAAATATTTCCGAAATTCTTTGTTGACTTGGAGGTCTTACTCAACTTTTTATCCCCCCTAGTGATTAACATAGTATATTGTACAGAGTAAACATTTAGTTAATGTGACTGAATGAAATTGTTGACTGGCGATTTTCAGTTTCTTCTTTTTCCCTTGAGGGAAACAAAGTCCCAGGGGTATGAAGTGATTCCCAACACTCCCCTCCTCCCCAGCAACCAGTATAGCCAGGTTTCTTTAAAAAAGGCCTCAGGGTCAGGATTCCTTGATAATGCAGAATGTGATGTATACTGGATTTATTATAATTTAGAGTAGGCCTTAAATTGTGTAGAGTAATGACAGTGCGCAGACCTGTAAACTTTTTTTAAAAAAATTGTGGCTTAAACACTTTTATTTTTTAAAATATTTTTTTAAGAAATAGCCGGGCGCGGTGGCTCAAGCCTGTAATCCCAGCACTTTGGGAGGCCGAGGCGGGTGGATCACGAAGTCAAGAGATCGAGACCAACATAGTCAACATGGTGAAACCCCGTCTCCACTAAAAATACTAAAAATTAGCTGGGCATGGTGGCGCATGCCTATAATCCCAGCTACTCGGGAGGCTGAGGCAGGAGAATTGCCTGAACCCAGGAGGCGGAGGTTGCGGTGAGCCGAGATCGCGCCATTGCACTCCAGCCTGGGTAACAAGAGTGAAACTCCGTCTCAAAAAAAAAAAAAAAAGAAAAGAAATAGAGACAGGGTTTTGCCTTGTTGCCCAGGCTCGTCTTGAACTCCTGGGCACTAGTGATTCACCCACCCTGGCCTCCCAATGTGCTGGGATTAGAGGCGTGAGTCACTACACCTGGCCAATTTTAGCTTTAAGTTAAATTATTGCTGTTTAAAAGTTTAAGTAGTATGAATTTCAGTACTGTGATGAAAACCGGCTTTGAGATCCTGTGTCTGGAGTTCTTAACCAATCCTTTTATTTTCTTTCTTCCAGATACTTTGATTTTGCAGATGTTTGTGTGAAGATTCCTGAAGCAATTGCTCAAGCGTCCAAGGAAGCTGGAGTTGGAAAATGCATCCATGTTTCGCATTTGAATGCAGATGTGAGAAGTTCCTCTAAATATTTGAGAAATAAGGTAAGTAACAAATTGATCTGGGAAGTGATTCACAGAGCCAGAGTTTCTTGGCCCATTTGAAACATGATTTCAGTGAGAAGCGTTTATCATCGACACATCTAGAATTAAAAGGTTCTCTGATTCCCCGCATCCAGAACTAGGTGTGTGTGTGTGTGTGTGATGTTTTGACATTTTGGTTGAGTGCCTTCTGTTTGCAGGAAACTGTGCTAAGGGGCTTCAGAGCTGGCTAGACCATGTTACTAATGGAATTCAGAAACTTAAAGTTTCTTTGAGGCATCACTGAATTACACAGAATTCATCCCAGAAAGCAGAATATCATTTCTGCCAAAGGAATCATACCTGTGTCATCTACCATGGTTAAAGGACCATCTTTCTTTCTCACCCTTTGCATTGTAATGGTTTTATGCCACTCTTAAAAGGGCAATGTGAAGGCTCAGAAGGACAGGGATTAATATTTGCCAGGGAAGATGCCTATTCACATAGTACTTACACTCCTTTCACTCCCAGAAATGCCATACCTAGAGGCTGACCACTGTAGTTTGGAGTCAGTCTGTAACCTGAGTGAAACGTCTTCATTATTAGGGACTTAGAAGGGATATCAGTGTCTGTCAGTGCCCTTAACATTTGGATTCTGCCATATGGAAACCAGTTTTGAGTCATACTGATAAAGACAACAGAGGTCCTTCATAATGGTTCCAAGTTTTTGATTCACTACATTAATTTACTGGATAAACTATTCATGAAGCACCTACTGTGTATCATATATTGTGTTAAGCACTGTGGATACAGTAATAAATAGAATAGACTTGGCCCTAGCCCATGTTAAGTTTCTAGTACACAGTTTGCTACTTTGCAACATTTGGTACATCTGAAATTATTTTAATTAAAATAATTTATATTTTATATATTTTATATAAATAATTTATATTTTAATTAAAATAATTTCAGATGTACCAAATGTTGCAAAGTAGCAAACTGTGCCAAAGGGGCAGATAATGGAGGAGAGAGGGCACTTTATCAGTTAGGAGCATTTAATTGCTAGCATCAGAAAAGCCAATGTAAACTGGCTTAAAAAGGGGGAGTTTGGCCGGGCGCGGTGGCTCAAGCCTGTAATCCCAGCACTTTGGGAGGCCGAGGCGGGTGGATCACGAGGTCGAGAGATCGAGACCATCCTGGTCAACATGGTGAAACCCCGTCTCTACTAAAAATACCAAAAAAAAAATTAGCTGGGCATGGTGGCACGTGCCTGTAATCCCAGCTACTCAGGAGGCTGAGGCAGGAGAATTGCCTGAACCCAGGAGGCGGAGGTTGTGGTGAGCCGAGATCGTGCCATTGCACTCCAGCCCGGGTAACAAGAGCGAAACTCCGTCTCAAAAAAAAAAAAATAAATAAAATAAATAAATAAATAAACAAAAAATAAAAACCAATAATAAAAAAAAATCTAGCAATAGGAAACCTTAGCCACAGATTGTGTCAGGGTTTGTTAGGGCTCCTTGCTTCTCTGACTCCCAGCTTTGACTTTCTCTTTTTGTGGCTCTGTTTCTCATAGTCACAGAGCTAATATAGCACATCCAGGTTTCACAATTTCATGCTATGCTGAAGAAAGGAAGAAAATAAGAGACGGAATACTTGTGCCTGCCTCTGCTGAAACATTCATAAAATCGTCTAAATTTCATGACTGTTTGAAAGGGCATGGGAGGTGTCAGTGGTGAGGAAAAGAGAAGAGTCAGAGATGTCCAGCCCTCTGGCTAAAGCCGTTGGGTAGATGATAGTACTGTTGAGTAAGATGGGAAATATTTGCGAGGGACTAGGCTGTAGGGCAGTGATCCTTAGCCTTACTTGCACATTAGAACCACTGAGGGAGCTTTTAAAAATTCTGATGCCTAGTCTGTTCTTCAGACCAATTAAAACAATCTCTGGGGTTGCAACGTTGGCACCAGTATCTTTTAACTCTCTCTAGGTAATTCCGAGTGCAGCAAAGATGGAGAGAGTGGAAGATCATTGAGTTTTGGACTCATGTTTCAGGTGCATTTCAGATGTGTGTCAATCTTCCAGGTAACTGGTACATAGGGTTTCTGATCCTGGAGGTCAGAAGAGAGGTCTGGGTTGGAGACAGAAATGTAGTTACCAGCATTGTTGTTAATTGAAGTAATGGGAAGGGATAAGATGGCTGAAGATTGATAAGAAGTTTCGGATTGGGCCCAGAACATACCAACGGTTAATGATCTGGTAGAGAAGGAGGCATCTGCAGAAACCCGAACCAATCAAAGACTAAGCAGGATGTGATAAGGCAGACGGGAAACCAGGAGAGTGCAATGCTAGGGAAGCCAAGGCAAGGCAGTCTCGCAGTAGGAAGTGAATACTTATGAATGTAAGTCCCAATACTGGGACTAGATCTCAAGTTTCCTAAAACCATCCAGTGTTCTTTGCGCTGCTTGACATGGATCAAGCCTGTGGGACTTTTCCTGGCACCACGTGGGTGGCCCAGAATCCAGGCAACAAGCTCCCCTTGCAGTCTCAATGAGATGAGGGCAAGAGTCACACAAGTGACCAGTGCAGTCAGAAAATCCCTCCAGGAGTGAGCCACGATCTGGGGATGGGAATGCCAGGGCCCCGTGCCAGGAAGGCCCCGGAGCCCATGGCTTTGCCTCTGACCTCTGGCCTGGCTTCCACAGGTCCTGCATGATCACATTGCCTACCGCTATGAGGTTCTGGAGATGATCGGGAAAGGGTCCTTTGGACAGGTGGCCAAGTGCTTGGATCACAAAAACAATGAGCTGGTGGCCCTGAAAATCATCAAGAACAAGAAGAGGTGTGGCTTGGGGGGTGGCATAGGCCACAGAGGAGGGACTGCGTGCCTCCGGCTCCTGAAGAATGACAGCCCTTCCTGACTCTGCCTCTCCCTCCCATCTCCCTTTGGCTTTCCCTTCTCTCACTCTACCTGTCTGATTCCATGAGGGGGAAAGAGGAGGTGAGAACGCGGCGTTTCCAGTGCTTCCTCCCACTAGACAGTCTTGCCGGGGTCCTGGGGAGGGGCTGATGGCTGCAGTGTGACCTGACACTGATGTTTCGGTCTCTCCTTCCCCCGCTCCCTGCCACTCCCAATCACGTCAGATTTCACCAGCAGGCCCTGGTGGAGCTGAAGATCCTGGAGGCTCTCAGAAGGAAGGACAGAGACAATGCCTGCAATGTGGTGCACATGAAGGACTTCTTCTACTTTCGCAGTCACTTCTGCATCACCTTCGAACTCCTGGGGTCAGCTCCTTTTCTTCCTAACCCATTTGCTCTGGAAAAGTTACCTAAGTGATAGAAGGGAAACGTGGCGGTCAGAACACTAGATTTTTCTGGACGTGAATATTTAATAACTAGAATGGACCTGACAGTCACTCAGTTATCCAGAAGGCCCAGGAGCAAGGAGGCTGGGACGAATGTGGGCCATCTCGATATGCCTGTCACCTGCCAGCGTGCCTGTGACATACCTCCCTGGTGCTGCGGACTGAGCTAGGTGATATAACCAAAACAAGCCCTCTTTCCTCAAGAGCTAAACTGAAATAGTCAAAAGGACTTTTCTTTGTTTGCTGTCATATTCTGCACTCATTGGCTGTCAGACCTGATCGTACAGAGGCTGAAACCCAAAGGAACAGGCAGCTGGCTGCTCAGGGTGGGAAAAGGCTTTCGATTTTGAGTAAATAAGGACAAGAGCAGATATATTTGGTAAGAGAGCAGAGCCTGACTTAAATAGATCGGCGTGGCCTGGCTGAATATTGGAGCTGACAAGGCCTGCTAATTGCAAGGGCATGCTAATTTGATTATTTTTCTCTCTGGGAAGACCATCTGATGCAATTTATATAAAACTAGAAACCCAGAATGCATTTAGCAAAGGAGAATAATCAGGGGTGAGCTCTCAGAGTGTTACTGGATTCAGCAAGCTGGCAGCTCAGTGCTCCCATGATGCTAAAATTCTAGGATCCGGCTACATTTAAATTAGCAAGTAAGGTGACACTCTCCTCATCATGTCATATTACAAAGTATGGTCGAGTCTCTGATATGCAGAGGTAAATTATCTTCTCTGTGGCCAAAAGGACAGCCCAGTCTACCTTTCTTGGCCATGAATCACAGTGCACAGTTAGGATGTCATTATGCTTAAAGAGCTCTGGGAGGTCAGAGGGCCAGGGGTGGGCAGGGGGAATCCAAAGCCCAAAGCCCAGAGAGATGAGGGAGTTGCCCAGGTGACTAGTTAGGATGGGGCCAGAGCCAGGTCTCACATCTCCATTGCAGCCCTCAAAAATGAAAGGCAACCAGGCATGGTGGCTCACGCTTATAATCCCAGCACTTTGGGAAGCCGAGGCAGGTGGATCACTTGAGGTCGGGAGTTCGAGACTAGCCTGGCCAACATGGTGAAACCCTATCTCTACTAAAGATATAAAAATTAGCTGGACGTGGTGGTGCGTGCCTGTAATCCCAACTATTTGGGAGGCTGAGGCAGGAGAATCTCTTGAACCTGGGAGGCGGAGGTTGCAGTGAGCTGAGATCATGCCACTGTACTCCAGCCTGGGCAACAGAGCAAGACTCTGTCTCAAAAAAGGAAAAAAAAAAAAGAATGAATGGCTTCTGGTTGGGCACAGGGACTCACATTTCTAATCTCAGCACTTTGAAAGGCCAAGTTGGGAGGTCACTTGAGGCCAAAAGTTTGAGACCAGCCTGAACAACATAGCAACCCCATCTCTTAAAAAAAAGAAAATTGCCAGGCGCGGTGGCTCAAGCCTGTAATCCCAGCACTTTGGGAGGCCGAGGCGGGTGGATCACGAGATCAAGAGATCGAGACCATCCTGGTCAACATGGTGAAACCCTATCTCTACTAAAAATACAAAAAATTAGCTGGGCATGGTGGCGCGTGCCTGTAATCCCAGCTACTCAGGAGGCTGAGGCAGGAGAATTGCCTGAACCCAGGAGGCGGAGGTTGCGGTGAGCCGAGATCGCGCCATTGCACTCCAGCCTGGGTAACAAGAGCGAAACTCCGTCTCAAAAAAATAAATAAATAAATAAAATAAAATAAAACAAGAAAGTTGTATCCAAATGCTATAAGGGTGCTTTCAAGCTCTCATATTCTGTAGATATGGAATTACCCAAGAACGGTGAGTCCCAAAACTAACTAAATGCGTATCCAAATTGCCTTGGGGCTCTGAAAAAATTATAATTTCCAGGGCCTCACCCCACATGTTCCTAATCCAGATTTCTGGGAAGTAGCTAGGAGCCTGCACTTCAGAAACCATAGTCATTCTGAAGTTTGGAATTTGCTGACCCAGATCCTCTAGGTTTTATACTTTTTCTATCTAGGATCCAAAAAGTAGCCCTGGTGTACATTTTCACAGCGTTTACTGAACTCAATTTAATAGTGCATTCCTTTGCCTTCTATAAGGTTTGCTATACAGAACATGTATCGTTAGAGAGACATTATCTGTTCTGTGTCAGTCACTGTCCTGGGTACCAGGAACAAAAAATGAATATTCTCTATCGTCAGCTTGCTTACCAACTAATGCAAGAGACAGAAAGATAAAAATAATATGATGAGTACAATGATTAGAGATAAACATGGCTGTGTTCCGGACACATAACCGAGGGACTTTGGGAGCAGCCTTTGAGGTAGTGGAGGCTGTCACAGGAAGCTTCTCAAGGCTGAAGAAAGGACTGCTAGATGGATGTTTCCAAATGCTTGGCAGATCAATTTTTTTTTCAGGGGAACACATTTCCAAGTTTATTAATAAATAATATAATAAAAGACACAGATAAAGAGATACACAAGGCCAAGTATTTGGGAAGGGATGTGAAGCTTCCATGCCCTCTTGGGGGCATGCCACATTTTCAATACCGCATTTCCCATAACCTGGAAGTTCTCTGTACCCTGCAGCTCAGGGATTTTTATGAAGGCTTCATCACATAGATTATTAACTCAATCTCTAGCCCTTTCCCCTTCCTAGAAGAAAGGAGTTAGAACTGTAAGTTCCAAGCTTCTAATCATGGCTTAGTCTTTCTGGCAGCCAGCTCCTGTCCAGGAGCTCACCAAGAGTCATCTCACCAGAACAAAGAGAGTCCTGTCACCTAAGAAGTTCCCGGGGATTAGGAGTTCCATGTCAGAAGCCAGAATAAAAGGTCAATTATTAGAGCAAGAGATACATGTGGAACCCCTATCCCTCAAGAAATTAAAAAGGTTTTAGGAGCTCTGTGCCAAATACTAGGGGTAGAGACCTCTATCTATTTCTTACTGTTTCTTGTACATGCTCATATACAATCATAGATATCATTAATTTGAAGAAAAAATAAGACTTTAAATTACACCCAGTGTTAGCCATTCACTCTCGCACACTGTTGGAGGAGCAGACAGAGCATTCACTCTCGCACGCTGTTGGAGGAGCAGACAGAACGTTCACTCTCGCACACTGTTGGAGAGCAGACAGAGCGTTCACTCACACACTGTTGGAGGAGCAGATAGAGCGTTCACTCTCGCACGCTGTTGGAGGAGCAGACAGAGCGTTCACTCTCGCACACTGTTGGAGGAGCAGATAGAGCGTTCACTCACACACTGTTGGAGAGCAGAGCGTTCACTCTCGCACACTGTTGGAGGAGCAGAGAGAGCGTTCACTCTCGCACACTGTTGGAGGAACTACAGATTCATATTATCTTTCGGGAGGTTACTTTTGCATCTTTAACCAAACATTTCACTTTGAACCTTCAAAAATTATAAATTCCCTTCTAAAGAACCTGTCCTACAGATTACTGATGTTCCCTCAGAACAAACATCTTCACTGCAGCACTGTTAACTAGGCAACATCAGAACCAACCTAAACATCTACAAATGAAAACTGGTTTAATAAATTAACCTTGTAATACCACACAGCTATTTGAAAAGAGAGATTTAAATGTAATGGCTTAGAAAGAGGTCCATGATGAAGTAAGTGGAAAAAACTGAGTAATAAAACTTTTGAGATGTAAATAGATAAGTATGAATAAGATATAAAAGGATTTGCACCACACTGTTAAAAGTGGCTATCACTAGAGATGAACCTGGAAGAGCCTGGGATAGAATTTTCAACATTTTACTTTACATATATATCTTTTTAAAATAAGGATATGGATGATTTTAAATTTTTTCTTTGGATTTTGTTTCAATTCTTAAATTTTTTTTAAATTAAATAATTTGTTATGGCCGGGCGCGGTGGCTCAAGCCTGTAATCCCAGCACTTTGGGAGGCCGAGGCGGGTGGATCACGAGGTCAAGAGATCGAGACCATCCTGGTCAACATGGTGAAACCCCGTCTCTACTAAAAATACAAAAAAAAAATTAGCTGGGCATGTTGGCGCGTGCCTGTAATCCCAGCTACTCAGGAGGCTGAGGCAGGAGAATTGCTTGAACCCAGGAGGCGGAGGTTGCGGTGAGCTGAGATCGCACCATTGCACTCCAGCCTGGGTAACAAGAGCGAAACTCCGTCTCAAAAAAAAAAAAAAAAAAAAAAATTAAATAATTTGTGGTCTTTAATTTGCTACAGATCTTTTTTTTTTTTTTTTTTTTTTTGAGACGGAGTTTCGCTCTTGTTACCCAGGCTGGAGTGCAATGGCGCGATCTCGGCTCACCGCAACCTCCGCCTCCTGGGTTCAAGCAATTCTCCTGCCTCAGCCTCCTGAGTAGCTGGGATTACAGGCACGCGCCACCATGCCCAGCTAATTTTTTTTTTTTGTATTTTTAGTAGAGACGGGGGTTTCACCTTGTTGACCAGGATGGTCTCGATCTCTCGACCTCGTGATCCACCCGCCTCGGCCTCCCAAAGTGCTGGGATTACAGGCTTGAGCCACCGCGCCCGGCTAATTTGCCACAGATCTATGTGAGATTTCTATACATCTGGTCTTAAGTGAGGCCAGTCTGTAGGGTTTTGTGTGTGTATCTTTATCCTGTTTGAATACCAAAGTTACATCTTGAAAAAATGAATTGATTGTCTCTTATTTTCTGTTCCATCGAAGTCTGAACAAAATAGCAATCATTTTTTATTTTCACAAGGCCTCTTAGAACCTAATTGTAAAGTCATCTTCATGTTGCATCTTTGGCAAGGGTAGTTCTTGAACCACTTTTCTACTTCTTCCATGGGCTGTCAGTGTGATACCCAGATTCCCTTCCATAAGTAAGTTCAGCTTTCATATCTGTATGAACTTATTTTTCAGAGAATTTTTACTCTGCTGTTCATGTCTTCAATTTGCTCTGCTCACTGAATTCTCTTCATTTCTAAGACCTGCTCTCTTTTCTTTTGCAACCATGCTTTAAATACTGTGTCATTCTCTTTTTTCTTGTTTTTTGTTTGTTTGTTTGTTTGTTTTTTGTTTGTTTGTTGTTTTCTTTTTTTTTTTTGAGACGGAGTTTCGCTCTTGTTACCCAGGCTGGAGCGCAATGGCGCGATCTCGGCTCACCGCAACCTCCGCCTCCTGGGTTCAGGCAATTCTCCTGCCTCAGCCTCCTGAGTAGCTGGGACTACAGGCACGCGCCACCATACCCAGCTAATTTTTTGTATTTTTAGTAGAGACGGGGTTTCACCATGTTGACCGGGATGGTCTCGATCTCTTGACCTTGTGATCCACCTGCCTCAGCCTCCCAAAGTGCTGGGATTACAGGCTTGAGCCACCGCGCCCGGCCCATTCTCTCTTTTTTCTTTCTCTTCTTCTATTTTCCGTTGCTCTTCCTCTCTTTTCAGCTCTTCTCTTTTTTGTTCTAGTTGTTTTTATAGTTCTTTCTGTTGAGGGAAAAGACAGTATATTGAGATCACTGGTGAGACATGTGATTAGATTTCCCATTCCCTTTACTTCGACCTGAGTTGGCAGCAGAACTTGGACAAGTCTTGCAGATGAGTGGTGGCTGAGGAATATAAGCCAGTGGCTCTCCTGTTGATGAGTGTGTGGCAGCATGAATCTTTGCTGCAGAATCTTCTTTCTTGATGCCACTGACATAGGAATTGGAAGATCTGGTAACAACTGCTGAGGGTCATTTTCTGTATTATTTGCATTAGTAATGCAGGCAAAAACTGCTGACTCTCAATGTCTTGTAAATTCAGAAGTTCAAATTTTCCATCTCTCTCTATGAGTATTGTCCTATCCTTGTTTATTTCACAACTTCCATTAGTAAGTGACAGGAGCACATTTTCTTGTCCAAAATCATTGGAAGTACATAACTGTGACAGTTTCCCAAACATATTCTTTTCATTTTCAGAATAATTTTATAAGTATTAATTAGTGTCTTCTAGTGAAGGAACTTTCAGATCAACTAATTTGTCCTTGAACTTAAGTTTTCACTTGCTTTTATCATTCAAGGTTCTTGATTCTGTAGAAGCTTGTTAGCTTATACAATTTTCTTTTCTTTTTTGAGATGGAGTTTTGCTCTTGTTACCCAGGCTGGAGTGCAGTGGTGCGATCTCGGCTCACCGCAACCTCCGCCTCCTGGGTTCAGGCAATTCTCCTGCCTCAGCCTCCCGAGTAGCTGGGATTACAGGCACGCGCCACCATGCCCAGCTAATTTTTTGTATTTTTAGTAGAGACGAGGTTTCACCATGTTGACCAGGATGGTCTCTATCCCTTGACCTTGTGATCCACCCGCTTCGGGCTTCCAAAGTGCTGGGATTACAGGTGTGAGCTACTGCACCTGGCCCAATTTTCTTAATAATATATCTCCTTACTTCCTCATCCTCTTCCTTCTCCAAGTCTTTCTGGCTTTCTAGTTTGGATTCCTCGAAAGAGTTTTCACTATTTAAATCTGATATAGGATACTTGGTACAGAAACGAAGACATTTCTTCTTGGCGAGACCTCATCCTGCACTGATTTGTCAGGATCAGAAAGCTGTTTGTGTGTTCTATTGCTGTTTCATTCTCTTTTAAGTCTTCATTAATATTGTCTTCCTTCAAACAAGTCATCTCTATTATGCTGGTATCACTTTTATCATTTTCACTAATTATCCACTCCAGGTTCTTTTCAAAGTCATCTTCATAGTCTTCCATTTCTTTTGAATCAGTATCTTTATTTTCATTCATTTTCCTCTCTTCTACCGTTAATATCTCCGCATCACCCTTCCCTTCTCTCCCTCCGTATCCCTCCTGCCTGTGTAAAATGCACCAGCTGGAGTCACAGAGATGGCCAGGGGAGTTCTCTTCCCCTCCTCTTTCTAAGTTCTTCACATTGAGGCAAGGGAGACCCTGGCACCTGCCTCTGTGGCAGCCAGGACCACACTGCCATGGCAACAGCGTGCCTCTGCGTCCTCTATCTGGGCCTTTCTCCAGCAGATCAATTTTTTTTTTTTTTTTTTTTTTTTTTTGAGACGGAGTTTCGCTCTTGTTGCCCAGGCTGGAGTGCAATGGCGCGATCTCGGCTCACTGCAACCTCCGCCTCCTGGGTTCAGGCAATTCTCCTGCCTCAGCCTCCTGAGTAGCTGGGATTACAGGCACGCGCCACCATGCCCAGCTAATTTTTTTGTATTTTTAGTAGAGACGGGGTTTCACCATGTTGACCAGGATGGTCTCGAACTCTTGACCTTGTGATCCACCCGCCTCGGCCTCCCAAAGTGCTGGGATTACAGGCTTGAGCCACCGCGCCCGGCCCAGATCAATTTTTGAGGACATATGTCATTCATATCTTTTATGTATGAATCCTGTAAGAAATTCCAGCTAAAAAATAAAGCTTTCCACAAAGAACTTATATGTTTGCCCTTCTCAGATGTTAAAGGCTGTAACTTATCAGTTGCCATTTATCTTGGCTGCCACGATGCTCAGAACTGAGTTTGTAATTATTATTATTATTATTATTATTTTTTTTTTTTTTGAGACGGAGTTTCGCTCTTGTTACCCAGGCTGGAGTGCAATGGCACGATCTCGGCTCACCGCAACCTCTGCCTCCTGGGTTCAGGCAATTCTCCTGCCTCAGCCTCCTGAGTAGCTGGGATTATAGGCACGCACCACCATGCCCAGCTAATTTTTTTTGTATTTTTTAGTAGAGATGGTGTTTCACCATGTTGACCAGGATGGTCTCGATCTCTTGACCTTGTGATCCACCCGCCTCGGCCTCCCAAAGTGCTGGGATTACAGGCTTGAGCCACCGCGCCCGGCGAGTTTGTAATTATTTTATCCTTGGTTCCTAACAGTCATTTCCCCCTTTGCATATTTTCTGACTTCCTTTTTATCTTTAACTGTGAGGCAGTGTCTAGTACTGACACTAGAATTGGATGCCTACTCCTGAATCGCAGGTCTGTCACTAATAGCTCAGTAACCTTGACATTTGAACCTCCGTATGCCTCAGTTTTCTCACATTTAAATTGGAGGCAATAATACGACTTGCTTCATAGAATTTATGTAAAAGTTGAAAGGGCTTATCTATAAAACACTTGGAATCGTGCCTGGCACATACTAAACGTTATGTAAATACCACTAAATCCACGTTCCAAAATACTCTGTGCATATGTGCTTCGCAAAGTACCACAGATCCATTTGGGAAGCAGGCAAAATATAAAAATTGTTTTTATTAAATCTTTATTTTGTTTTAAATCACAGAATTATTATCTTCTGACGGTAACCAATTTAAACAACAGAGAAGTGATTACAGAATCCCTGCACCTCCCCAGGTAACCAGTAATCCCAGTTATGTGGAAATAACTACCGTGTTCAACTTCTTCAACTTCAGTCCATTCATCCTCATCTGTTGAGATTTTCTTTCCATACAATACGTGCACACACTGTATTGAATATACACTTCGCACGCTTCCTTTCCAACTCGACACGCTTCTCCCATTGCCAAGCCGCAAGACTCAGAAGCTGTCTACCCCAAATTAAGCTGACAGTTTTGAAAACTTAGTCTTATATTTGTCTTATGTTTTGTTTGTTGTAAACTTGGCTAACTTAAATTCACTGTCCTACAACAATGCCCACGTTGGAGTTCGTTATCTACAAAGCAGGGACGGTAACACCTCCCTTGTGATTGGGTTACTGTGCGGGTTTGATGCTGTTACGTGTAACGGGACTCCCAAGTGCCGGCCGGCTGCACTCCCCGTCCCTGCCAGCGGGGGCGCAGCGTCCCCGAGAAGGCGTCCTGGAGGAGCGTGTTCTGCAGAGCGCCAAGTTTTTCCCACGAGGTTTCTCTCGCTTTGCCTCCGCAGAATACACGTACATCCAAAGCCGGTTCTACCGATCCCCAGAGGTGATCCTGGGCCACCCCTACGACATGGCCGTTGACATGTGGAGCCTGGGCTGCATCACGGCAGAGCTGTACACGGGCTCCCCCCTGTTCCCCGGGGAGAATGAGGTGGAGCAGCTGGCCTGCATCATGGAGGTACGGGGAGGGCTGGCCGGAGGTCGGCTCCCACGGAGACCGTGGGCTGGCTCTCAGACCCTGGGCTGCATCAGACCTGCCCAGGACCATGGCCTGCCTACTTTTTTTTTTTCTTTCTTTGGTTGGGTGTTTCCTAAAAGTAGTTTTGAAATTGTGTACCCCCTTGTACCTTGTCAAGTTGACATCTAACATTTTTATCTTAAATTTAAATAGTTGCAGAGGATGTCATTTCCATCATATTGTAAATAGTGACTTTTTTTTTTTTTTTTTTTTTTTTTTTTTTTTGAGACGGAGTTTCGCTCTTGTTACCCAGGCTGGAGTGCAATGGCGCGATCTCGGCTCACCGCAACCTCCGCCTCCTGGGTTCAGGCAATTCTCCTGCCTCAGCCTCCTGAGTAGCTGGGATTACAGTCACGCGCCACCATGCCCAGCTAATTTTTGTATTTTTAGTAGAGATGGGGTTTCACCTTGTTGACCAGGATGGTCTCGATATCTTGACCTCGTGATCCACCCGCCTCGGCCTCCCAAAGTGCTGGGATTACAAGCGTGAGTCACCGCGCCCGGCCTAATAGTGACATTTTAAAATAAAAGTGTGACACCACCTTTGCAGAAATGTCCAAAAGAATACAAAACCAGAGTGACATGACACCCATTAAAATCTATCTGAAAGTATGTGAACAAGTTCTTAAGAGTCGTACATTTATTTTACTTTGTTCTTTTTTGCTTTTTGTTTTTACTCTTTTCTCTATGGAATTTTATTCTAATTTAATATATGCTTATGTTTAGAAACTTTTTTTTTGAGACAGAGTATCGATCTGTCGCCCAGGCTGGAGTGCAGTAGCATGATCTCGGCTCACTGCAACCTCCGCCTCCTGGGTTCAGGCAATTCTCCTGCCTCAGCCTCCTGAGTAGCTGGGATTACAGGCACACACCACCATGCCCAGCTAATTTTTGTGTTTTTAGTAGAGATGGGGTTTCACCATGTTGGCCAGGATGGTCTCGATCTCTTGACCTTGTGATTCATCCGCCTCGGCCTCCCAAAGTGCTGGGATTACAGGCGTGAGCCACTGCACCTGCCTAGAAACTTTTATCATCTTTATAGCTTTAAAAATTTCCTGATTCCATAAGCTTCATGTGTAAAATTTTTTTTCTGATAAATTGCCATTAAAATACATCTGGTGTGCACATTTTGATAATTATCAAAAATAAAATGTGAAATTTTATTGAGCATACAGCTCTTTGAAAAATGAATAGAGCCGGCTTTTCTTTTTCCAGTTAATGCTTCCACCCATAGGTGAATGATGCTTCTTACTAGAATGCCCAGGCTCAGGATCAATGTGATTCCAATTGCTTGGTGGTGCAGATGTGAACCCAGAGAGGAAGCCTGTTCTAGTTAAGGCCGTCTAATTTGGTGACTCCTTTTGAGTTCTATGTAAAAATCAAATGCTGATCTGCCATCTAAAATTATGTTTACCATCCTGTCAGCTGACAACCTGATTAAAATGTTAAAAACAAAGAATTGGAAATTATTTGACTTCAAAATATGTGTATTGTTCAGGCATTAGTAATTCACTGTGGGAAATGAGTTTTCTGGGAAAACTATCTCCCAATAGCAAGGCTTTACCAAACTCATGATATGATTATGAATTAGATCTATTATGCTTTCACTTGAAAGCCACCTTGTTATGGAACTAAATTAGACAAAATAGAAAAATGACTTTAAAAGTTTAAAATTTTACATTTTAGGATTTTCCCAGTGAACAAAAGATCTTTTGTGTGCAAACACCAAGGTGTGTGTCTGTCTATCTGTTTGTCTACCTATTTATCTTTACTAAATTTCTATTTTCCAGTTTGTCTCAAAGTTACAGAGAGAGAAACACATATAGCCTTGAGAATGACTAAACATAGAGAATTTCATTTCATGATTGAAACTAATAATATGAAAATAATCAAGGTAGAAGCAGCCATGGTGGAATGAACACGGGCCTGTGAGTCTGTGGATCCCAAATATACTTTTTTTACCCACAACTTAATAATTCAGGCTCTTGGACTAGACAGAGTCACTGTGGGAAGACACATCTTGAGCCTGTAACACTGAACTATGCGATAGCATCTAGGTGGGGACTAGCAGGAAGGAAGCACAGAGCACCTTCGTGGGAAGGTACTGAAGACATGGGCGTGTCCACTTCGTAGAGTTGCTTATTTCTACCATCAGCACTAGGCTTTAGGATGGTGACGGGATTTTTGCAGCAACGTCCGTATCTTCGCTTCCTGCAAAAGAAGGAATGTTGCTGAGAAAAATGCATCCTCGTCAGTGTTTTCCAAACTTTATCCAAATGTAGGAATCATTTGGGGAGCTTGCTAAAAAGCTAATTCCTATGATTCTCTTCTATAACGTATGCTATGGGAAGATTGAGATGGGACCCAGGATTTAATATTTTTAATAACAGCTCCTTGTGGTTCTTATGACAAGATGAGTCTGGGAAACATTGTTCTCTTCACTTCTTGACTCCCACTTTCCCAGGTTTGGGCTCCCAACAGCTCCTTAGCCCCTGGCAACTCCTGCTTAAAACCCTAATTAGCAGCAAAATGGTGTTGTCTTAAGCCTGGTAAGATATTATACTGAGGTGGCCCAGGCCGTAAGAAGGGGATGGACGGAATGAGGGATGAGGGCTAGAGTGAGAAAAACTTACATAGGAAAACGATGACATGACCATGACTTTAGGGGCTTTGTTATTTATAAGACTGTGAGCTTGATTCTTCTTTGGTCATTCATAAAAAGGGCAATGTAGGATGAAGTGGGAGGGCTAAGGTCATGATTCAAAAGAAAATGGATATTTGTGCGATTTCACAGGACCTTGCCCCTTAAGATTCACTTTACTATTGTTATTGTCATCGTTAGGGTTGTCTTATCTCGGCTAGAGCTAAACCATTTAAACTATTTGATTTGGAGAGGAGGTAGTAGAAGGAAGCTCAGAACATACTGAATAGTAGAAAAATATAAATTTTTAAAGTTAATTGTATTCCTTGGACAATCTACACATGGTTATTTCAAACTGAGACTGTGGGTGTGCTTGTGTGTATGTTTATTGGAGGGTGGCATGAGGCGAGTGTGTAAGACCAAGAGCAAAACAACCACAGAGGCCACTCTAAGCAGCAGCATGATGTGACCACTCAATATTTACGTCTGGAACTAAATACAGAATGTTGTATCTCTACAGATTCCAAAGGCTTACCTAAAAGTATAACCAACAACAAGGGGAAGAAAAGATACCCAGACTCCAAGGACCTCACGATGGTGCTAAAAACCTATGACACCAGCTTCCTGGACTTTCTCAGAAGGTGTTTGGTGTGAGTTTGTTGGAATATCTCTGCCTCTGGGTTTCCTCTTAAACGCTGTCCTTTCACACACGTTTGCTGGTAAAAGTCTAAGGCTGGGAGACAGTTATACAAGTAACAAGAAATGCTGCCGGGCGCGGTGGCTCAAGCCTGTAATCCCAGCACTTTGGGAGGCCGAGGCGGGTGGATCACGAGGTCGAGAGATCGAGACCAACCTGGTCAACATGGTGAAACCCCGTCTCTACTAAAAATACAAAACATTAGCTGGGCATGGTGGTGCGTGCCTATAATCCCAGCTACTCAGGAGGCTGAGGCAGGAGAATTGCCTGAACCCAGGAGGCGGAGGTTGCGGTGAGCCGAGATCGCGCTATTGCACTCCAGCCTGGGTAACAAGAGTGAGACTCCGTCTCAAAAAAAAAAAAAAAAAAAAAAAAAAAAAAAAAAAAAAGAAATGCTAACGATAGAACTTTGAAGTCTACAAATTGCTTCCACATGTGTTGACTCATCAGACGTCTCTCTCTCCCTACTGTGTGCTGTCAGGGCAGGTGATTTGCTCTGTTTTGCAGGTATGGAGGTTGTGGTTCAAAGATATTAAGTGACTTGCCCTTGATTACACGGCGTGTGGTAGAGTTTAGCATCTTCCTGGCCTCAAACAGCTTGGCAGCGAGACCGTAGGCCAGTCTTTTTTTTTTTTGAGACAGAGTTTCGCTCTTGTTACCCAGGCTGAAGTGCAATGGCGCGATCTCGGCTCACCGCAACCTCCGCCTCCTGGGTTCAGGCAATTCTCCTGTCTCAGCCTCCTGAGTAGCTGGGATTACAGGCACGCGCCACCATGCCCAGCTGATATTTTGTATTTTTAGTAGAGACGGGGTTTCACCATATTGACCAGGATGGTCTCGATCTCTTGACCTCGTGATCCGCCTGCCTCAGCCTCCCAAAGTGCTGGGATTACAGGCTTGAGCCACCGCGCCCGGCCGTAGGCCAGTCTTAAGTATCCTGCTCTGTGAGCTGAAGCCAGGCTCCTGAGTGCTTGTTGTAATGATTTGCATACACATCCAGTTTAAACTGGTTTCAGGGCCTGTCCCTAACCCCCTAGGATTTAGTACCCAAATCCTCTTATAGTAGAGAATTAGGGGAAGGGTGAGCTGTAAACCATTTATTATGTAAAATTTTTTACAACCTATATGCATGTTTTGAATCTTAGAGATTAGATCTGCACTTAAGTCATAGTACTGAGCACAGTGCCTAGCTTAAAAGGTGTTTAGAAAATGTTAGCTGTTGTTATTATTTTACAGTTGTTAAAGAGGTAAATCTGTCTCCACTGAGTAGCAAGTGCATTATCCATGTGATCCTTGGCAAGTCATCACTTTTTTCTGGGCCTCAGTGTCCTTTCCTATAAAATGGGATATTCCTAAGCTCCCTTCCAGTTCTATCAGTCCTATAATTTAGTATTTTTAGAAGACCATATCATTATATTCTCTTTTTCTTCCAGTTGGATGGAGAGGTGTTAGCAAAATACTCTTCTGGCCTCTATGCACTCTGGACTTTTGGTACTAGCTCAGAGGGGGAACCATGAGGTAGCATTGAAAGTATTCCCAACTTAGAGGGCCGTGTGATTCACTTATCAGAATAATCAAGGAAGAGAAGGATTCCATACCCCAACTTTACCTCTCCCTTAACAAACAGAAACCAATTGCTGAGACAGATGGGTTACCCAGAAACCCCAACCATCCAGAACACAGCTCAGCACCAAGGAAGACATTATTTTCATTTCTTTCTTTCTTTCTTTCTTTTTTTCTTTCTTTCTTTCTTTTTTTTTTTTTTTTTTTTTTTTTTGAGACAGAGTTTCGCCCTTGTTACCCAGGCTGGAGTGCAATGGCGCGATCTCAGCTCACCGCAACCTCCGCCTCCTGGGGTCAGGCAATTCTCCTGCCTCAGCCTCCTGAGTAGCTGGGATTACAGGCACACGCCACCATGCCCAGCTAATTTTTTGCACTTTTAGTAGAGACGGGGTTTCACCATGTTGACCAGGATGGTCTCGATCTCTCGACCTCGTGATCCACCCGCCTCGGCCTCCCAAAGTGCTGGGATTACAGGCTTGAGCCACCGCGCCCGGCTCTTTCTTTTTTTCTGAGACATAGTCTTGCTCCATCGCCCAGTCTGGAATACAGTGGTGTGATTTTGGCTCACTGCAACTTCTGCCTCCCGGGTTCATGCGATTCTCTTGTCTGAGCCTCTGGAGTTGCTGGGATTACAGGCACGTGCCACCAAGCCTGGCTAACTTTTTTTGTATTTTTAGTAGAGATGGGGTTTCACCATGTTAGCCAGGATGGTCTCAATCTCCTGAGCTCGTGATGCGCCCACCTTGGACTCCCAAAGTGCTGGGATTACAGGCGTGAACCACCGTGCCCAGCCACATTATTTTCTTCTTTAGTGCAAAGGACTGATTACTCATAACTTGCAAGAGGCAGTCAAGCTGATGGGGACTGTTACCTAATTGCTAATTAACAAATCTTAGAATGAGAGACTAAAAGTGTTGAGCCAAGTTCAGTAGGCATAAATGTAAAGCCTGGTGGTTAGACTTTGTAGGCTAACCCCAAAAGTCCAGGAAAGGAGAGGTTTGTTTAACAGCAGTTCATTTGACACAGAAATGAGAGCTTGAGCTGTTTAGGATCTTGATTAGTCTAGAATGTTAATACTGTCTCCCTGCAGTTATAGAAGCTATTCCCACCATGTGGACATTAGTTAGACAACTGCTAAAATATCCTTATCTCAGAAGGTGGCCAGATGGTGAAAACCATGTCATATAATCATTAGTTAGTGGCGATGTAAATATTTTCAGATAGTTGAAGGGCTGAAACATACAAGAAGAATTAGTTATTTTGTATGATGCTAATGGGTTGAATCAGGACCTGGGTTCAAGTTACTGGGAAGCAAACCAGTTTTGGTACAATAAAAATTAAGAACTTTCAAAGAATCAGAGTTTTAAAAAATTGGAATAGATGGTTCTGAGAGTTAGTGCCTTGTCACTGAAATTATTCAAGAATTTTAGGGTGATTCCATGATGGGAGTTTGGTCAATGTATTCTGCTACTGAATTAGAAGTTTGATTTGATTATATCCAAGTCCCCTTGCAAATCTTAATATTCTAGAATTCTATAACTCTTCTTGCAATATATTTGGAAGCCCCAATTCTGTAGTCTGGAAATTGAAATTAAGCATCTCTTTGTTTTAATATGCTTAGCTTACCAAAGCCTAAATCCCACTGATTAAGCTTTTGTAAAATAATATTTCTTATAAGGGAATTTCTAGGCATTCTGGAAGACTTGTGTAATATATATTCCCTGGCTTGTTATACACATCTTCTAAAAAGATTATTTTCAATAGCTGTTTCCAGGTACTTTTAAGTTATATGCCATAATCTCTGTTCTATGATGATATCTTTGAGATATCAACATAGCTTAAATAAAAATATTTGTTGGGTTTTTAAAATGTTTTAATATACTAAAAGGAAGTAAAACAGTAACCCATGCTGGGCTTTGTTGGGGTGCAGATGGGAACCTTCTCTTCACATGACCCCGGACCAGGCCCTCAAGCATGCCTGGATTCATCAGTCTAGGAACCTCAAGCCCAGGCCCCAGACCCTGAGGAAATCCAGTTTCATTTTCCCCTCTGAGACAAGGAAGAACAAGGTTCAAGGCCGTCATCACTCGAGCAAAAAAGGTACAGCCTGTCAAATAGCCAGTCCCATTCCCATAGTCCAGGAAGCCTGCCATGTCTTACCTTTGGGATTTTCCTTTTTTGCTCCTTATTAGGATTTTCCATCATTCTCCTATAATCAATTTCCTTTCTCCTCCTCCCCTTTTCCTTAACTGTGTCCACCCCTTTATGTCCTATAAGTACCTTTAGAATTTGTTGGGCCGGGCGCAGTGGCTCACGCCTGTAGTCCCAGCACTTTGGGAGGCCGAGGCGGGTGGATCACGAGGTCAAGAGATCAAGACCATCCTGGTCAACATGGTGAAACCCCATCTCTGCTAAAAATACAAAAAATTAGGTGGGCATGGTGGTGCGTGCCTGTAATCCCAGCTACTTGGGAGGCTGAGGCAGGAGAATTGCTTGAACCCAGGAGGCGGAGGTTGTGGTGAGCCAAGATCGAGCCATTGCACTCCAGCCTGGGTAACAAGAGCGAAACTCCATCTCAAAAAAAAAAGAAAAAAAAAAAAAAAGAATTTGTCAGTGCCAAATGATGGTATTATGCAATTTTTTATATGTAATATAGCCTAGTGGTTAGGCACATGGTCACAAGAGTCAGGTTGCCTGGGATTAAATTCTGGCTCCACCGCTGATCAGGTATGGACTTAACCTCTCTGTAGCTCAGTAGCTCCATTTATGAGAACGAGAATAACGCCTATTCTCCAGGGTCGCTGAAATGATCAGATGAATTAGTACACATAAACTGCTTAGAATAATGCCTGGCACATGGAATGCGCTTTACAAATGAGCTGTTTTTATTATCATCACAGTCATGGTTTCCACTAAGTGATTTACAGCCTAAAGGACAGTTCGCTTATAATCCGCATTTGAATGCTTGTTCTTTCTGCCTTCTCTCTCCTTCAGCAGATGAGATCACCAGAGAGGCTACAGACAAAACAAAAGATGGCCCCGTGAAGCATATTCAGCATTCAGGTGATCAGCAGGACTCTCGCCAGCGCACAGCTGACACTGTTCAGCTGCCTCAACTGGTAGAAGCTCCCCCGAAGTCAGAGGCAGCTGTTGGGGCAGAAGTGTCCATGACCCCCACGGGACAGAGCAAAAATTCCTCCCCAAAGAACACAAACATTTTGCCCCCCATCGTATGACCTTCGCTGAGGGCGTGCCCTGCTCCTTTCCACCAGGGATTTGCATTAAGCAGCACTTACGTTGGACAATACTTCAGACTGTTGCTTTTTAATACAGAAAAGTTTATTTAAAAAAACTCCATTAATATGGCCAATTGGCACGATTTCTCTTATGAGGGATGGGGGAGGATGTCCTCACACTTAAATTCATTCCATATGTGTTTGTGTGTTGGGGGTGGGAATAGTTTTTAACTATCAGTGTTGCAGCATCATTAATGGAACTCTAAACAGACATTCTTTTTTTTGTTCTTGCCCATGACTGCCAGCCTATGTCAGGATTTTTGTTTAAAAATGATAGAAGCCAAATTCAAAAGTAGCTTAAACAACAGAAGACATTTATTGACTAACGTAATTGGGGACTCTGAAAGGGTAGATATAGTTTCAGGCACAGCAGGATCCAGGAATTCAAATGAGGTTGTAGGGCTCAGAATCCCTCTTCATCTATTAGCCTTGCTTCTCTCTGTGATTGACTTCATCCTGATGGCAGGCTCTGCCCGGAAATTAACCACCAACATCCAGTCAAAAGATGCAGGCTTCCTTGCTGACTGGAAGTCTCCAGAATGATTGTGACACAGAAACTGTGCCTGGGAGACTGGGATGCAGCCTGGGCCCCAAGCCCACAGCGAAGGTGAAGGCACCGTGACTGATGCTTCTCCAGACTACAGCAAGGGGCGGAAGGTTTCCCGAGGGAGGGGAAGCTGAGTAAACACGCAGGACATATTCATGTATCCACCAGACCGCACATCTAAGTATGCCTTCTCACTTCCCTTTCTAATCCTTATCTACACAAATACATAACCTTTATGTGATTATAATAGGGCAGATAGACTTTTACATGAAACTTAAGATTATAGCATCAGAAACAATATAGAGTATATACAAATAGTTTTGGTTTTCTTTTTTACTTGCCATTTGGAATAACCTCCCCTCAATACACTTTTCATTTTACGTGTTGCATAACATTTCATGAACATTGACACCAAGTCATTAAAGCAATGGATTTGGATGCAATCTCCCAGGGAAGATCTTGAGTTAGAATAGCCGGGAGTTTAAAGAAAGTCCCAGGAAAGATATATATAAAAGGAGTTGACAGAGTTGAGGAGGTCCCCCAAGAGATCCAGAGATACAGGAAGAAAATTAGAAGCCAATGGAAAAGTTTCTAAAAGGAAAGAAGGGTCAAGAATATAAAATTCCACAGAAAATTCAGGATAAGAACAGAAAGTACTTCTTAAGTGGGGTGATAGGGATATTAAGTCAGAGCAGTATTAGGACAGGTATCTTATTCCAGGTTCTATAGCCAGAAAGCCAGAAAGCCACAAAACCAGCAAAGGAACTCAGACCCTTGGGAACATTCTTGACACGAACTTCAACCATGGATGAAGTCAGAGGCGGACACTGTCTGCAGCTCTACAGAGAAAGGGAAACCAAGTCTTCAACATTGTAATTAGGATAATTTTGATTGAATATTAGAAAGCATCTTCGGATGTTCATGGTTATAAAAGGCTAAAATGAAATATTGATAAACTGTGGTTTATTTTAAGAGAATGAGGAAGCTGCAAATTGTGACACAGAGAGAAGGGACAGGCTGAGTGACTTTTGGCAGGGCCTCTCAGTCCAGCTCTGCTCTACCTCTGGCGTTCATCTAGTTATTTTTTCACTCCTGGGATTTCTTTTTTTTTTTTTTTTTTTTTTGAGACGGAGTTTCGCTCTTGTTACCCAGGCTGGAGTGCAATGGCGCGATCTCGGCTCACCACAACCTCCGCCTCCTGGGTTCAAGCAATTCTCCTGCCTCAGCCTCCCGAGTAGCTGGGATTACAGGCACGCGCCACCATGCCCAGCTAATTTTTTGTATTTTTAGTAGAGATGGGGTTTCACCATGTTGACCAGAGCAGTCTCGATCTCTTGACCTCGTGATCCACCCGCCTCGGCCTCCCAAAGTGCTGGGATTACAGGCTTCAGCCACCGCGCCCGGCCACTCCTGGGATTTCTTTACCTGATCGTCTCATTGGATCCCAAGAAAGCAAAACACGTGGAACCATTTAGTTGTGATTTTTAAATTTTATGTCCTTGATCGCATGTACAGGAAAATCTGCAAAATCCAGTGACTAGCATGAGATGACATGTCTTTGATGAGAGTGATAGGAGGATAGGTTAGGGCTCTGTAAGGATATAGAGTGGGAGCTGTGGAAGTGAGAAAGAAAGGTGGGGATAAGGGCCGGGCCCGCTGCCAGGAGAGGGGAAAGCAGTGGGGTTGCTGATCACAGGTTCGCCATCAGCCAGTCCAGCAGCTGCAGTGGCGTGACATTCCCCAGTGCCTCATTCAGCTGGCGCTGCTTCTCATAGCGCATCACTGACTGCAGAACCTCACCCACACTGCATCCTTTGTCCACAGCAGCAGCCGAGAGCTGGCGTAGCTGTGAAAGGAAAGAAAACACTAGTGGAGAGGCTCAGCACCCCGTGGCAGGCCAGATGGAGCCTGCCAAGTCTAGAGCAGAGAGGCCAGGCAGACCTTGGGAAACTGCAGCACAGACTTTAAAGTCTGCTGGCCTATTTACCAGAAGAAGGTTGGTAACAACATTTTTAGTTTAAAGAAGGGATGTTAACACCCACCTGCCCATGATCTGGCTCTCTAAGAATTCTAAGGTTCTAAGTTCACCCTAATATCATAAAAGTCTCCGTCATTGTCCTAAGACCGAAAGGGCAAGACAGAAAATAGACAGTGGACAAATGTGGATGCTGCCTTCCATGCCCCATAGACCACAGAACCCTAAAATGTTAGAACGAAATGGCACCTCAGAGATCAATTCAATCCTTATGAAATGTTTCCCCGAGAGGTAAAGAGACTTGTCAGAGATACACTGCTAGTGATTAGCAGAACCAAAATTCACTGCAGGTATCAGATCCTATCTTTAGCTCTTTTTTCCAAGTATAACATGAGAAAAGTTAGTTAAGGAACCATTCTAATATAAACACAGTATGCTGTCATTTATCTGGAATCCTAAGGGCAACAAACCAGATTTTTTTTTTTTTTTTTTTTTTTTTTTTTCAGACAGAGTTTCACTCTTGTTACCCAGGCTGGAGTGCAATGCAATGGCCCGATCTCGGCTCACCGCAACCTCCGCCTCCTGGGTTCAGGCAATTCTCCTGCCTCAGCCTCCTGAGTAGCTGGGATTACAGGCACGCGCCAACATGCCCAGCTAATTTTTTGTATTTTTAGTAGAGATGGGGTTTCACCATGTTGACCAAGATGGTCTCGATCTCTCGACCTCATGATCCACCCGCCTCGGCCTCCCAAAGTGCTGGGATTACAGGCTTGAGCCACCGCGCCCGGCTAATAGTCATCTGTTTTATGGTTTGGAAACCTTGCATGGAGATACAGCTTGCCAAGGACCCTTAAGAATATATCTAGTATCGAACCGGGCGCGGTGGCTCAAGCCTGTAATCCCAGCACTTTGGGAGGCCGAGGCGGGCAGATCTCAAGGTCAAGAGATCGAGACCATCTTGGTCAACATGGTGAAACCCCGTCTCTACTAAAAATACAAAAAATTAGCTGGGCATGGTGGCGCGTGCCTGTAATCCCAGCTACTCAGGAGGCTGAGGCAGGAGAATTGCCTGAACCCAGGAGGCGGAGGTTGTGGTGAGCCGAGATCGCGCCATTGCACTCCAGCCTGGGTAACAAGAGCGAAACTCCGTCTCACAAAAAAATTAAAAAAAATAAAAAATAAAAATAATAAGAATATATCTAGTATTGGAAGTTCACATTGTCTTCTAGCCTGAACTTGAATGTGCACATAACTCACCTGGGTATTTTCCTAAAACAAAGATTCTGATTCAGTAGGTCTGGAGGAAAGTATGAGATTCTGTACTTCTAAAAAACTCCCAGGTAATGCCAATGTTGTAGGTCCACAGACTACACTTCGAGTAGCAAGACCAAAGTCAAAGACCATACAGTTTCGTGTTTAGGCTTGGTATAGCCTAATCTGAATGCTCTGTAATTGTGTGTCTTCCCAGTTATCAGATAAATGTGGCGACTCAGTGGCAAGTGTTGGTAATACCACTTAATTAAGCAGAGAAAGCCTCTTTTTCTATAACTTCTGATTTCTATGAGGATGAATTTTTCTGAATAATTGGAGCCTCTTTTGCCACCCTTTGCTACTTAATGATTAACAGCAGTTGTTCCACTTTTCTCAATCAAGAGGAGACAATGAAAAGCATTGAAAGAGAAAACGAGAGAGAGAGAGAGAGAGAGAGAGACAGAGAGACAGAGAGACAGAGAGAGACAGAGAGAGAGAGAAGAGAAGGTTGTGGGGATGGTCTTTTTAATTCCCGCAATTCAGTATGAAGCAGCAGCGTCTTGGGTAAGTCTGCATGTTCTCCAGACTCAAACCCTCCCTTTAGGGAACAGTTCTGATGCTTATTGGGCACCTTGGGTGGAGGACAAGAACTTAGCAGGCATGTTTACCTTTAGCAGTAATAACAGTGATAGGTTGATTTCCCATCTGTCTTATGCTTTAGTCTTACTTCTCAACGGATTCAGAACTTAGGGTGGGGGAAGAGGGGTGTTATCAACTGAATCCTTTCAAATCCCCTATGCCACCCAGACAACCAACTAAGACAGTAAGGACACGTTTGAAAAGGTCGTAAGTTCAGACTCTTGCCTCTTCCCTAACACATCCCAGGGCTACTTTCCAGCTTCATCTCATCCTTTGAGCAATGCTGTCCTATCCCAAACTCAGCCCAAAGCCCAGACCTTAATCTGATTCTTTCACTAGGTCTCTTGGAGGTTCCTCATCTGTACACTCCTACTCCTAAATGCAAAAAAATAGAAAAATATCACTTATTCCCTTTTCCCTCTTTGATATGCCTTGTATTGGGCAAAATCTAATTTTACTTTATCCATTATCTCTGCCAAGAGGCATGATCTTTAAATCCTGCGGTTCCCATTTTACCTTCCCGGTGCCTATCTTCCTATTCAGAAGGAAACCAGAACTTAAAGACCTTGTTAGATCTTAATAAAGCTTCCAAGTTTCTCTGCCTTTGTTTCTTACCTTCTCCTGGATCCCTTCGTCATCATCAGCAAAATACAGAATAGGGACGCTGAGCTTAGAGGCAGCTACCCACTGAAGGACGGCTTGGAGTTGCTTGTTCTGAACCGTATCTATTAGGCTGTGATTACCGACAATCCCCTTGGGTGCTGCACGCCCTTCAGGGGGCTGTCCTGATACCCCTCTCAGTTCGTTATGGACAGCTTGATAGGCATTCTGCAGAAGAGCTTCTGCTGCCCCAGTGCCCTTGACTGGCAAACACTCATATAAACTATCTGGGAAGGCCGACGTTAGCCTGCTGGCATCTCCAGACTTGCCATCTTCCAGCTCTGTCAAAGAAGTATCACAGGACTTGGCAATGACGAGACACAGCTTCATCACTGAGGCCGTCAGATGTTCTGCCATCTGCCCATTCATGTTGCCATCTAGCTGGTTGATAACCATCTTGGTCAGCCCAGAAAAGGCACCAGGGGTCTCATCATCTTCACATGGTTTGGGGGGTGAAGAGGTTAAAGGTCTTTCACACAAGTTTATATCTTCCTTAAGTCGCTGTTCCGGCACCTTGGGTTCAGAGCAATGGCCACGCTTGAAAATGGTCTCACTCAGTAAGTTCCGGATGAAATTGAAGAAAACACTCATTAGGTTCTTCTTTTCTGCTTGTTCTTGGTCATCGACATTGTGAGCAGTCTTCAGGCAGGATTCATCAGGAACTACAGGAGATTTGTTGGCAGGAAAGTTGGGGGTTCCAGCAGCTTCAAGGAAGCTCTGTGCATTCCTTCTTCCTCCCTGGGCCAGGTGATATTGAATCAGAGGTAGGGCAGGTACGATCAGGTCCTTGGTCCAGGAGTCTGAATTAAACATAAAATTCTCCGGTTTCTCTGGGGGATATGGAGGAGGGCCGAGGTTGCAGATATCTTCAGGGTACTCAAAGGAAATGTCTGGTGCAGGCTTACAGTGTGCATCAGGACCTTCAAAGGCTGCATGCTGGAAACCTGGAGATTCACATTCTTTCTGATTTTTATGCCACAAAGGCAGCCCCTCTTTGATAATGTGTTCACCCAGAGTTTCGGCACAAGTCTTCTCCTTCTCTGATTTGGCTTCAGAATACATTATTTCTCTCCATTTAGCTTCAGATCTCATGGCAGAGTTCACATTTCGTTTTTTAGGATCACCCATTCCTTTCATGCAGAGGAAGGAATAACTCTCAGCCTTGTCTTTGGCTTTCCTGATATGCTCAGAGACTTTCTCCGCAAACATCACATTGTACAGCTTCCCTAGCATGGCATCCATGATATCTGAGGCCTTTTGTCTTCCATACGAGAAGACGGTTCTTTTCACAGCCGAGACAAAGTCTGTGTTGGTCATGAGGGTCCCTGTGACATTGTGGAGGTTCCTCATGAAGGAGTCGATGAGATCTGAGACCACCTCTTTTGCATGCTTGAGGAGAACCTTCTTCAACAGGACGGTGGCAAGGCCAGGCGCGGTGGCTCACGCCTGTAATCTCAGCACTTTGGGAGGCCGAGGCGGGTGGATCACGAGGTCAAGAGATCGAGACCATCCTGGTCAACATGGTGAAACCCCGTCTCTACTAAAAATACAAAAAATCAGCTGAGCATGGTGGCGCGTGCCTGTAATCCCAGCTACTCAGGAGGCTGAGGCAGGAGACTTGCCTGAACCCAGGAGGCGGAGGTTGTGGTGAGCCGAGATCGTGCCGTTGCACTCCAGCCTGGGTAACAAGAGTGAAACTCCGTCTCAAAAAAAAAAAAAAAACAGGACGGTGGCGATGGTTGTGTTTTTCACTTGGATCTTCAGTGTCTTCATGATGGAGACCATCATATCAGACACCACACTGTTAGCATAGGTCATGATCCCTTCACTAACTGAAGTTGTAAAGTCATCAGCCCTTTCCTGCCCTCGACACATCTTTCTCTCCCAAGGAAAGAACCTGCCACCCTCTCTGGCGTAATCTGCGTTACGAGATTCAAACACTTCCTTACAGAAGAAAGACTTCTTAGAAGCAGGCTTGTCCTCTGGACCCGGTCTTTCCTTGGTGTTCTCCTTCGTCTTCGAAGTGGACTTGTATTTCAAATTTGGAGGATTTTGTGATGATTCTGATGCTGTCTCCAGAGCCGGGAGGCTTGCCTGGGGCAGCATTCCTGGCACATGCAGAGAGGGTCTCATTCACCAGCTCTGATGCTACCTTACTGAGACTTTTGGTGGGGATGGGTTCATTCCCCATGTACAATGACTGACGGTCACATTTGTTTTCAGAGCCATCGATTGTCTCATTGATCTCTCTGCAGGCCATGGCTATGACTAGATTCGTGAGGCGGTTAGCATCGAAGGAAACTTCATCTACTGAACTCCCATTGCCAAGCTGGGCCCTGGGGCCCTGGAAAGGATTCTCTTTGTGAGTGATCTCCAAATGCAATCTCCCTGGAGTGCCCTTGGTGGTGGTGGTGTAATAGTCTACAGAGAAACCTTTGTGTGGGTCTCCTGAGTTGAACACTTCCCCACCAAATGATGATTCTCCGGGCTGGAACCTAACCTCTTGGAACTCTGCTGTGCTTTTCTCCAGGTCTCTGCGGAGCCAGCTGAGCACTCTGACAGGATCCGTGGAGGTGTCCTTGAAAATAGACACGCATTCATCTGACTATAACAAAGTAAAGACACGGGATATTCAAGACAACCTTAAAGTTCAGTTACAAATGTCATCAGCCTTCTCAAGCTTGCTCCATCTTGGCAATAAAAGGAACTACTGATTACTCACTGTGTATTAGGCATTGTTCCAAGTATTTTAAGATTATTATCTCATTTAATGATTCTCATTATAAGCCTGAGATTTAGCTCTCTTATTATCCTCATTTTACAGAGGAGGAAATGGAAGAACTGAGAGGTTAAGGTTATGACTTATTTGAAATAATACAGCCAACCGTTGATGGGGCAGAAATTCCAGTCCTGGCAGTCTGACTCCACAGTCTGTGCTCTCAGTACATTATATCGCTTCTAATGACATACATCTTTAAGATCTCATAGTCTGCTAAGGATGATGGCCTCCAGCTTCATCCATGTCCCTGTAAAGGACATAATATCATTCTTTTTTATGGCTGCATAGTACTCCATGGTGTATATGAACCACATTTTCTTTATCCAATCTATCATTGATGGGCATTTAGGTTGATTCATGAACAGAAAACCAAATACCACATGTTCTTACTTATAAGTGGGAGATAAATGATGAGAACATATGAACACATAGAGGGGAACAACACACACTGGGGCCTTTTGGAGAGTGGAAGTAGGGAAAAGGGAGAGGACAAGAAAAGTGACTAATGGGTACTAGGCTTAATACCTGAGTGATTAAATAATCTGGACAACAAACCCCAGTAACACAGGTTTACCTACGTAACAAACCTGCACATGTACCCCTGAACTTAAAATAAAAGTTGAAAAAAAGATCTGATAGTCACCAGCTACATAGAAGAGTTAGCATTTGAACTGAATCAGATTTTTTCTTGTTTTAATGTTATTTTCTATGATTTACCTGTTTTGATTTCGATTGTATTATAAATATAGTTTCCAAAAAATGAGAAAATTCAGGGAAAAGTGTGCATAATTCATCACTTTGCCAGGCTGCACAAACACTATCTAAATATGTTAAATGGCTTCCAATGGACTAACTGACATCATTCAAGTTAACATTGTGATCTATAATTCAGGAGTTAATATGTATGGACAATTTATTAGTTTTGTGTGAATACAGATTCTTTGATGGACAGTAGCTGTGATGTTTATAAATTGTACAGTCTGCATATGGGAAAAACTCTTAAACATAAGTTAAAATAGTATATATGAAAGTGTCTTATTTATTATCACATGCAAAGGATCGCCGTAATTATTGGAGTTTATATGTCTATCTGGGAATGACCACAAATATCACCCATCTTTAAAGAACAATTTGGCATTTTTATTACCGACTGTCAAATAGTTACTAGTTATCATTTGTGAAGTATTCATAATGTTTGCCAGGCACTGTGCTACATGTTTTACATGCACTATTTTGTTTAATCCTCATACTCACCTGGTGAGATAGGTTTTACACTTCCAGTTTCACAGGTAAGGAAACAGAGGCTTAGAGAAGTTCAATAGTTTGCCAGGTATCTCACAGCTAGTCCATGGTGGGGTTTCACATTCAAATCCAATTCTGACTCTAAAACCTGGCCTCTCTACCCCTACAATATCCTGCTGTGTTTTGATTACTTGGAAAGAAAAGAAAAGAAAAGTCGTTGTGCTAGTTGTCTGCAGAACTGGTTTAAGTGGCTTGTTACCATGTTGGAGTTAAGGGCCATTGTGCTTGGTTCAAAACCCTCCCAAATGGTTGTCCTAATAATTGCTATTATACGGGGTATTTTGTGCTTTAGTGGAAAACGACACATCATCTATAGCATACCCCGCCACATTATCTGATTCTCCTTCTCTTGGAGCTATTTTACAACTCTGCTAACTGTAGATAACTGACAGCAATGCAATATAATTCTTGCATAGACACTGACAAGGGGAGGGTCGACTGACTGCCTCTCCCACTGTAGGGAAGGTCAGCTCTGCCTCCATGGGCACATTCACTTCAGTGTTCCAAGCTACATGTGTCTTTTGAACCTCACCTGTTCCTTGTTAATGAGTTAAATAAAATCTTTAACACATGTTCATTTTTATATATGTATGAGAGTCATTATTTTACCTTTCTTTGAAAATTATCTTTCTTTTTTTTTGAGATGGAGTTTCTCTCTTGTTACCCAGGCTGGAGTGCAATGGCGCGATCTCGGCTCACCGCAACCTCCGCCTCCTGGGTTCAGGCAATTCTCCTGCCTCAGCCTCCCGAGTAGCTGGGATTACAGGCATGCGCCACTATGCCCAGCTAATTTTTGTATTTTTAGTAGAGACGGGGTTTCACCATGTTGACCAGGATGGTCTGGATCTGTTGACCTCGTGATCCACCCGCCTCGGCCTCCCAAAGTGCTGGGATTACAGGCGTGAGCCACCGCGCCCGGTCGAAAATTATCTTTTAATGGGTTTGGAAGTCTCCCACTAAGATGCTCAATAGATCCATCTAATGGAGATAAATGTCCTCATGAGACAAGTGTACCAGGTGTGTGTTTTCTCAGCCCCCAGAGTGGCAATAGAAGTTTGCAGACATTCTGTTTTTCTAGGTGTTTTTTTGTTTGTTTGTTTTTTGTTTTTTTGAGATGGAGTCTTGCTCTTGTTGCCCAGGCTGGAATGCAGTGACATAATCTTGGCTCACTGCACCCTCCTCCTCCCAGGTTCAAGTGATTCTCCTGCCTCAGCCTCCTGAGTACCTATGATTACAGGAGTACACCACCACACCTGGCTAATTTTTGTATTTTAAGTAGAGATGGGGTCTCACCATGTTGGTCAAGGTGGTCTCGAACTCCTGACCTCGTGATTCACCTGCATCAGGCTTCCAAAGCACTGGGATTACAAGCGTGAGCCACCATCTCTGGCATGTTTTTCTAGTTTGAATTTTCCTCTCCACTAATTTTGGTTTTAGTTCTTTCTTTGGTTTGTTTATGGTCAATTGGTGGCAATGATGATTGGAAATTTGATTTTATTGTTTGACCATTGGTAATTCCTTTTATGGATTAATGATTTATAGAGATCTAACTTCTGTTGAATGTGAAGCAACGGAAAATTTGTTTTGACAGTATTTTTTTGTCTATCTTAATCTCGAATCAATTAAGGTGTTTGTGCTCAGTTGGAAGGAGAAGAGCTCTTTGATATTTGGACAGGTGAGTTTTATGTTTCTGGTTTATTTTTGACACAAAGTTTGGCTGAAGGTTTAGAATTGAAGCCATAAACTATCAGTGACTGCATCGCTACATGTCTGTAATTCAGAAAATGTTAGGTGTAAGCAGCAGCGTCTTCCTCCAGATGGTATCTATACATATTATGAAGTCTCCTAAATCAAAGGCTGTTTATTCGGATGGGCATGTGCACACACATGCACACGCACACAAACACACACTTAGGTAAATTAAATATTTTTGATATCTCTAGAAAAAAGGAAATCAAACTTCTAATATTTAAAATATTAAAAGGGAATCCTAAAAGAAAAGAAAGAAAAGGAAAAAAAAAAAAAGGTTTTTATGGAACCTAACTCAGAAACATTTTAGAAACCCAAATTGACATAAATTAGGTAAATCTTTGGCAAACAGTACTAGTTTAATAATTTTGGTTTAATAAAAACAGCTGTATCTTTTCTTATTTATCAGTGTTAAATATAATACAATCGTATGCTTTTATTTTACTTTTATACGCTTTTCATAAACTTACACAGGTTATACAGATCCAAAAAAGCCAGCATTAGTTCTACTTAATGTTTAAGGATTATGAAAAATGTAAATTTGTGTTTAACCAAGTTCAATAATCATTCCGACATCTTTATTTCAACAGTTATTATGTTTTATATGTCAGCCTAATGATAAGTTTCCAACATCTGTGTATAATTTAAAACACTGGAGTGGTATTACACTGAGTTAATATGTATTCACTGGATATGTAGATCATTTCTAAGTAAGATGGAACACAGAGACATTGATGGCTAAACATAAAGTTTATATGCTTTTGCTTGTTATTTTTATCACTATAGAGAGGCTGTATCTTTAAATCTGTTAATGAGTATGTTCATCTCCTCCACTTAGGCAGCATAAAGGGTGTCTGCAGCAGTAGCAAGTCTTCAGGTGTATTCATGAGTTCTACTCATCTGGATTTCAGCTGGTGTGTGATGTTCCCAATTATATACCCCTCACTCCCAGTTCTGTGTGTGTGTGTGAAATAGAAAGACCAGAAAGTACTTTAACAGTTATGATTAATATTAGTGGTTGAGACTATAATTAGGAACAATAGTTTTGGAGAAGTCTAAATGTATACCTGCTTGTTTTCTTAGGGACTGCAGGTGAAACCTGGTAGAGAGTTTCTCAGGCTTGACTTCCTAATCTCAGCACAGTAAATAACAGAGGCCTTTAAAAGTCCAACCTGAGATTCCTTAGGAAGACTTCTGATAAAGCAAACTTAAGAAGGCCTCTCCAGGCCGGGCGCAGTGGCTCACGCCTGTAATCCCAACACTTTGGGAGGCTGAGGCGGGTGGATCACGAGGTCAAGAGATCGAGACCATCTTGGTCAACATGGTGAAACCCCATCTCTATTAAAAATACAAAAAATTAGCTGGGCATGGTGGCGCGTGCCTGTAATCCCAGCTACTCAGGAGGCTGAGGCAGGAGAATTGCCCGAACCCAGGAGGCGGAGGTTGCGGTGAGCCGAGATCGCACCATTGCACTCCAGCCTGGGTAACAAGAGTGAAACTCCGTCTGAAAAAAAAAAGAAAAAAAAAAAAAAAAAAGAAGGCCTCTCCATTTGCTGCACCTATGTAAATCATCAGGCCAAATCTGATGAGACTAGCCTCATTTGGTGTTCAAGAATAATCTTACTTTAAGATTATTTTAATTTTTATCAAAATGGGGGAGACCACAGGGAAAAAATTGTGCTTAAATAGAAAACTAAACATTGTCTATAGCCTGTAGACTAGCATTGTCTCCAATCTTCCACAGGATCTGATTCTCCGTCTGTGAGAGCTATTTTACAATTCTGCAAGCTGTAGATAATTGATAGGAATGCAAAATAACTCTTGGCTACAGATGTGAAAATTCTATCTAGTGGAAATTTGGTTGACTTTCCTTCCCCACCGTGGAGCAGGTCAGTTGTGCTTTTATTTGCACATTTATTTTAATACTGCTGATATACACATGTATCTTTAAAAAAATTCTCCTTTGAACTGGTTGTAATACCTTACCAATTTCCTCACCTGTGAGGTAGATACAATCTCTCATATATATTCATTTTTCTATCTGTATCAAAGTGATAATTTTAACTCTCTTTTTGGAAAATGATAATGCATTGCTACCTAGTCATTTACGAATAAACACACTAACCTGCAAATAGGTGTGTCTCCATAATAGGGCTGTAACCGTGCAGGAAAGCCTTACTATAGTGCAGCTGTGAAGTTTATTCTTTTACCCTTTTTAATAAAAAAACAAAACAAAACAAAACATTTGGGTGTGGTGGCTCACGGCTGCAGTCCCATGATTTTGGGAGGCAGAGGTGGACAGATCGCTTGAGCTCAGGAGTTTGAGACCAGCCTGGGCAACATAGCGAAACCCTGTCTCTACAAAAATATATTTTAAAAGATAAATAAAATAAAATAAAATAAAAACCAGGCCGGGCGCGGTGGCTCAAGCCTGTAATCCCAGCACTTTGGGAGGCCGAGGCGGGTGGATCACAAGGTCAAGAGATCGAGACCATCCTGGTCAACATGGTGAAACCCCGTCTCTACTAAAAATACAAAAAAAATAGCTGGGCATGGTGGTGCGTGCCTGTAATCCCAGCTACTCAGGAGGCTGAGGCAGGAGAATTGCCTGAACCCAGGAGGCGGAGGTTGTGGTGAGCCGAGATCGCGCCATTGCACTCCAGCCTGGGTAACAAGAGCGAAACTCCGTCTCAAAAAAAAAAAAAAAAAGGCTAATGGGTTTTATTTTCTCTGCTCACCATCTTCCTTCAGTAGCTTAGTTTGAAGTCAGGTATATACCTCCCTGTCCTATTCCTCTTCACCTTTGTCTCAAACATACCTTATAAAATTTTCTCTGATCATCTCCCGTTTTGAGATGATCCATTCTTTAAATACCTATAGCAATTATTGTCTAGAAAATACATGTGATGCATAATCATGAACTGCTTTTCATTAGTCCAACAGTTATTCAGAGCTTTCATGTGACCTTTCTACGTTTTTTTTTTTTTTTTTTTTTTCTTTTTATACCGCTTTATTTCAACATGAGCACCTCAATATAAAACTAAACGCTGGTGAACCGTTTTCCTAATTCTGCATTATTGTAAATGTCCGAGTTCTCCTAGCAGACCAACACCTAAATAGGTTAAATCATCTCTGACACACGGTAGCTCTCATAAAATGAAAATAGCTAAAATAATTAGTGCAATATACTGAACTGATCAAAATAATTGAAAGTTGGAAAATAAGGCTGCAAGATTGTTACTAACATATTGCAATGCTTTATGTTACAAATTATGGGCACACTGTTTGTTAAGGTTCTAGCCACAGAGGAACAACTGAAGCCCCTTCCGGTCAGAGGAGGGAGAGAAATAATTAGCTGTTTCAGTAACTGCACATTTTGTATACTTTTAAGCAAAGCTTAAATATTACAGAAAAGTAATATATATATACGGAGATTACAATGCAGTATCCTGTTGTACAGCTAAAGATTGAATTTAAAATAATGAAGTTTACATATATGTAATTGTTGGTGCATTGACTTCATTGCGTCAAAAGTGAATAAAAGTCTTCTCCCTGCACCAAACAACAAAACCTATGTAACGGCCAGCAGTGATTAATTAGAAATCACAGATACCTAGTTTATTTCATTTTTGTTAAATGACTCACATGTTCGAAAGGAACACTATCGATGAAGATGCATTTATTAGTTCTCAAATTCCTAAAACAAGATGGGGTTACATTTTTTTTATCCCGTTAAAAAAAAAAAAAAAACAGGACTGGCTATAATTTAGATGCCATTAATGATCTTTCCACCCCCCACATTGTATATGTGGGATTATTTTCTTGTGGTTAATTTATTGAAATGTACATTTTAAATACAGATACCAAGAGAAATGAACATTTGCCTGAATACTATGGCTAAGCATAAATAACATTAGAATCTCCTTCTAAAAAAATAATATTTTTGAAAAGCCCAAATTAGTCAATTCTGAATTTTTTTTACAGTTGACTACTGCACCAGTGTGGAGAAAAGGGCTGGTTAACTGTGTGGACCCAGTCAGTCACTTGTCTGTGCTCCTAGTGATGAGCAATTAGGGGGAATAAGGAAATAAGTGGACACATAGTTCTCATTTTTCCCTATTGCTGAAACATTAGTGAGAGGGACCCATCCATGGGTCCTAAAAATTAAGTTCAAAACACTTAAAATAATTCTGTATTAGAAACTTGACTCTATTATCACAAGTCTCTTCTTTTGGAAGTCATACTGGGCTGGATAAGTGCTCCAATTCCATTATGATTAACAGTTAAGAAGCAGAAGACTATTCCATCTAGTTCGAACTGGAGGTTTAGTTGCTGCAACATTGACTCCTGCCTGGTTGTGTGAGTTCAGTAAGGTTTACTCCTCTTCCTCTGGCAGAATTTGCTCCTGGATTTTGTGGTTCCTTCTTTGGCAATTTTTTAGCTATTGCCACGAATATCTCATTTGCATTCATTGATGTTTTAGCTGCTGTCTCCATGAATAATAAACTATTGTCATCTGCACAGGACTGCGCTTCCTGGAAATCGACTAGTCTTTCCTTTGCTAAGTCGGCCTTGTTTCCTGATAAAACTACTACCGTGTTAGAACCTGCTTGCCTCTGAAGTTCTTTAACCCAATTTTTTGCTCTTGCAGAGGACTCTTCATTTGTGTTATCATATATAACTATGGCTGCCTGTGTCCTCTGTAGTATATCGGTGCTAGGCTACGGTATTGTTCTTGACCAGCTATATCCCATATTTCAAACTATACTTTTGTGTAAGACACACACAGTTTGGGTAAGAAAAGCAGCTGAGGCTGGGCGCGGTGGCTCAAGCCTGTAATCCCAGCACTTTGGGAGGCCGAGGTGGGTGGATCACGAGGTCAAGAGATCGAGACCAACCTGGTCAACAAGGTGAAACCCCGTCTCTACTAAAAATACAAAAAAATAGCTGGGCATGGTGGCGCGTGCCTGTAGTCCCAGCTACTCAGGAGGCTGAGGCAGGAGAATTGCCTGAACCCAGGAGGCGGAGGTTGTGGTGAGCCGAGATTGTGCCATTGCACTCCAGCCTGGGTAACAAGAGCGAAACTCGGTCTCAAAAAAAAAAAAAAGAAAAGCAGCTGAATCTGTAAAACCAGTTTAATTTATCCAAAATGTCTGTTTTCTGGCTAAGAACCATCAGCCTTGGTCGGGCGCAGTGGCTCACACCTGTAATCCTAGCACTTTGGGAGGCTGAGGAGGGTGTATCACAAGGTCAGGAGTTCGAGACCAGCCTGGCCAAGATGTTGAAACCGCGTCTTCACTAAAAACACAAAAATTAGCTGGGCGCAGTGGCACGTGCCTATAATCCCAGCAACTCAGGAGGCTGGGGCAGGAGAATCACTTGAACCTGGGAGGCAGAGTTTGCAGTGAGCCGAGACTGTGTCATTGCACTCCAGCCTGGGTGACAGAGTGAGACTTCATCTCAAAAAAAAAAAAAAGAACCATCACTCTTAGATCTCTTCATTTTCTCTTCACTCCCATCACCAGCACTAGCGGCTGGTTTTCTTTTCGGGCCCATATTTCACAAAGAAACAGCTTCTATCATTTCGAGAGTTACCTCAATGGTACTCTCTTAAAATTCGTGAAATTGGCCTTTCACAAAATGAAGCACTAGGCTTGATCTGCCAACAGCAGACTCTCTCAGAAGCACTAGTTTGAACTGGCATATTTTATTTCCAGTATTTGGCCCATTGGGTCTTGTCGCACCTCAATTAGCCATGTCTAAATTTGAAATAAGACCCTAAATTCAGACTGTTCACTGAACTTCCCAAATTCAAGTGGTCAATTTTCTTCTTTCTGGAGGTAAAGAAAATCTGAGACCCAGCAAACGGAGCTGCCAGCCGAAGCTTCCTGGCAGCAAGGCCCTGGCGTGGCCCGTAGGACTAGAGTGTGTCTCGAGAGTGTGTGTGTGGCATTGGTGGTGGAGGCCGCGGCGTCTGCTCTTCACGCCGCTCCCCTGGCTGACGTGTCTATTTTCATGTGTGTATTTTCCCAAATGAACGATAAGGTTTAGTAATTGTTATGTTCCTTTTTGTATCCCTCACATTGTTCCTCATGTAGTGAAAAATCACTAAATTCATTTGATTTAGCATTGAAACTGATCTGCCCTTTGTTTCTCCAAATGAAAGGGCAGAGGTAAATCAAAGATTCAGTAGTGGCAGCTTTGGCTGGCCCTTTATAGTAATTGAATATTTATTATCCTTTTTTTTTTTTTTTTTTTTTTTTTGAGACGGAGTTTCGCTCTTGTTACCCAGGCTGGAGTGCAATGGCGCGATCTCAGCTCACCGCAACCTCCGCCTCCTGAATTCAGGCAATTCTCCTGCCTCAGCCTCCTGAGTAACTGGGATTACAGGCACGTGCCACCATGCCCAGCTAATTTTTAGTATTTTTAGTAGAGACGGGGTTTCACCGTGTTGACCAGGATGGTCTCGATCTCTCGACCTCGTGATCCACCCGCCTCGGGCTCCCAAAGTGCTGGGATTACAGGCTTGAGCCACCGCGCCCGGCCGACAGCCCCATATTCTTAACCTAGTGTTTATCAAGAGGCTGACACTTAAACCATTTTCCAGCCCTGGGCTTGGCTGTCTCCAGGAGAATAGACATCAACTTTGCATACTGCATTTTGATTTTGTAACCAGTCAACCTTATCTGACATCTGGAAGTAGGGAAAAATAATAAGAAAGAATCATCGAAAGGGCAGCTTATATAAAAGTAAGGGGCCGGGCGTGGTGGCTCAAGCCTGTAATCCCAGCACTTTGGGAGGCCAAGGCGGGTGGATCACAAGGTCGAGAGATCGAGACCATCCTGGTCAACGTGGTGAAACCCCGTCTCTACTAAAAATACAAAAATTAGCTGGGCATGGTGGCGTGTGCCTGTAATCCCAGCTACTCAGGAGGCTGAGGCAGGAGAATTGCCTGAACCCAGGAGGCGGAGGTTGCGGTGAGCCGAGGTCGCGCCATTGCACTCCAGCCTGGGTAACAAGAGTGAAACTCCGTCTCAAAAAAAAAAAAAAAAGTAAGAAGAAACGTGGTGATCACGGCTAAGGCATGGGAAATATGAACAATGCCTTCAATAGGGACCTTCCCCAACAGTCACTTTAGACCCACTCCACTCTGGATATCTTCATCCTCAGCTCTCAATGGAAGGAAGATTTCTTAAACATATTTGCACCTCTAATGAAGAAGCTAGTGCCTGATATCTGCTTAACACATCTCTGTTGAATGAATGAACCTAGCAGCCATGTCCCACCCCTTTGTGTCCTTGCTAGATGACCCCTCCCCCTGCACCCACTGGATTTTCTGTAGACACTCAAAACTCAATGTGACCAAAATAGAAATAATTTACTGCTCCCTTGTTGGTGGTTCTTGCCCTGCCAACTTAGCTTTTAAGTAAAAGATGTTTTATTTTTAATTAGTTTCTAAAGCCGTAACTTACTCATACTAGCAGTAAGTCTTGCATCTCTCTTACTAAAGACCAAACCCTCCTCATTAGCCAAGGATCCTGGGGGAATTCTCAGCCTCTATGGTTCAGTGGAATTTCTGAATATCAGTCAGGACAAAAGAGATGTCATGTGCTCCATCCAATGAGCCTCTGTCCATGGATGCAGTGATTTCCTTGCTGAAGTGAATTCGTTCAGTCTTCCCAATACTTTACTCAATTCCCTAATCTCGGTAATGGCACCAGCATTTACCTGGTCTTCTAAGCTAGAAAACTGAGATTTATTTTAATTGTCTTATTCCACCCCAAGCTTCCCTCCTGCTACTATTTCTCTCTTTTTACATTTGCAGTCATTTTTCTTTTTTTTTTTTTTTTTTTTTTTTTTTTGTATTTTTAGTAGAGACGGGGTTTCACCATATTGACCAGGGCGGTCTCGATCTCTTGACCTCGTGATCCACCCGCCTTGGCCTCCCAAAGTGCTGGGATTACAGGCTTGAGCCACCGTGCCTGGCGCAGTCATTTTTCTTAAATGAATTGCTTATACCTGCTGTTTTCATTGATTGATCATAGTACCTATTCTACGTACTCCTTACTTGGTAGTCTTTGAAAACATGGTCAACTATCTTAATGACATAGAGTTATCCACTGATCACCTAAAATTATGAGAATCTTGCCCTCTTTTCTACGTCAGACTTCCATTCCCAGGCTTCCACATTGACATTTCCCTTCTTATCTTAAAAACTTTGCTCCGCGGGCGGCCCGGCGCGGTGGCTCACGCCTATAATCCCAGCACGTTGGGAGGCCGAGACGGGTGGATCACGAGGTCAAGAGATTGAGACCATCCTCGTCAACATGGTGAAACCCCGTCTCTACTAAAAAAAAAAAAAAAAAAAAAAAAAAAAAATACAAAAATTAGCTGGGCACGGTGGCACACACCTGTAGTCCCAGCTACTCAGGAGGCTGAGGCAGGAGAATTGCCTGAACCCAGGAGGCGGAGGTTGTGGTGAGCCAATATCGTGCCATTGCACTCCAGCCTGGGTAACAAGAGTGAAACTCCGTCTCAAAAAAAAAAACTTTACTCAGCTTAGCCCTCCTTCCCTCTTCATCCCTTAGGCCCAGTTTCCATTAAAAAAATTTCAAAAGAGGCTGGGCGCGGTGGCTCAAGCCTGTAATCCCAGCACTTTGGGAGGCCGAGACAGGTGGATCACGAGGTCAAGAGATCGAGACCATCCTGGTCAACATGGTGAAACCCCGTCTCTACTAAAAATACAAAAAATTAGCTGGGCATGGTGGCGTGTGCCTGTAATCCCAGCTACTCAGGAGGCTGAGGCAGGAGAATTTCCTGAACCCAGGAGGCGGAGGTTGCGGTGAGCCGAGATCGCGCCATTGCACTCCAGCCTGGGTAACAAGAGTGAAATCCGTCTCAAAAAACAAACAAACAAAAAAATTAAAAATAAAAAAATTCTGCTCAGACCTATACTTCTCGATTATCAAGGTGGAAGAGCTATACCATTTCTCCTCCCCAATGCCTCAAACATCTTTACGAAACAGAATATCTCTGTATTTTAATTCCAACAAAATACTGGTTTAAAGTACTGTTGTAATCAAGTCCAACATCTTATCCTAATTTTTTACAGTACAATTGTGTTTTATGAAGAATTGCTTGAAATAAGTGAAGCAATATTAAGGCATGAACATCTGGTTAACTGGAAATATTTGTTTTAAATGACATTGGACTGTGGTGAGGATAGACATCCTCCCTCAAAATAAAACCAGCACAGATCAATGAAAGATTAAAGGCCGGGCGCGGTGGCTCAAGCCTGTAATCCCAGCACTTTGGGAGGCCGAGGCGGGTGGATCACGAGGTCGAGAGATCGAGACCATCCTGGTCAACATGGTGAAACCCCATCTCTACTAAAAATACAAAAAATTAGCTGGGCGTGGTGGCGCGTGCCTGTAATCCAAGCTGCTTAGGAGGCTGAGGCAGGAGAATTGCCTGAACCCAGGAGGCAGAGGTTGCGGTGAGCCGAGATCGTGCCATTGCACTCCAGCCTGGGTAACAAGAGTGAAACTCCATCTCAAAAAAAAAAAAAAAAAAAAAAAGATTAAATACGTGATTGAAACTTACATAAGTGGATATGTCACTTTTGTTATACAGGATATTTCAGATAATCATTACAAAGAAAATACAAGATCTTTTAAGAGCTACTTATTCTTTGCTCTCACAATAATTTGCACCTGTTTTCTTTTTTTTTTTTTTTTTTTTTTTGTTTGTTTGTTTTTTTTGTTTTTTTTGAGACGGAGTTTCGCTCTTGTTACCCAGGCTGGAGTGCAATGGCGCGATCTCGGCTCACCGCAACCTCCGCCTCCTGGGTTCAGGCAATTCTCCTGCCTCAGCCTCCTGAGTAGCTGGGATTACAGGCACGCGCCACCATGCCCAGCTAATTTTTTTGTATTTTTAGTAGAGACGGGGTTTCACCATGTTGACCAGGATGGTCTCGATCTCTCAACCTCGTGATCCACCCGCCTCGGCCTCCCAAAGTGCTGGGATTACAGGCTTGAGCCACCGCCCCCGGCTGCACCTGTTTTCACACAGAAATCACTAACTCAGATTATTGGGCTAAGGAAGCAATTTATTTTAACCTTCCAGGTACTGAAATACCATGGATTCCTTAGGTAAACAATGGGTTCTCCACTCTATTTAGACAGACAAATCACCAAGAGAACTGTGTAAAGATACTGAGTCCAAGTTACCATCCCCTGAAAATCTTATTTCATTGGTTTTTGGTTGGGAAAACTAGGCATTCTTAAAATTCTTAAATGCTCCCAGGGTGCTTCTAATATACATCAAGAATTGAGAATTTCTAGACCAGGGCTTATCTGGAGAGATTCTTTGAGAAACACTGGCTAGGTCCAGAAAAATTATTATTTACCCATTTCTTTCAGATTTTCTAACTTTTTTTTTATTTTTTGAGACAAAGTCCCACTCTGTTGCCCATGTTGGAGTGCACTGACGCGATCTCGGCTCATTATAACATTTGCCTCCCAGGCTGCTCACCACAACCTATGCCTCCCAAGGGAATATCTAATTCCTTTAGATATTCCAGCACTGCTAACATCCTGGAAGCTGTGAAATTTTCCCATGGCCAATAGAAGGATCGGATTAAAATGTTCCTCAAAAACGTCAATGTGATAATTACCTGCCTCAGCCTCCCAAGTAGCTGGGACTATACCAGGCACACCACACTTGGCTAATTTTTGTATTTTTAGTAGGGATAGGGTTTCACCATGCTGGCCAGGCTGGTCTTGAACTCCTGACCTCAAGTGATCTACCTGCCTTGGCCTCCCAAAGTGCTGGGATTGCAGGTGTGGGCCACCACGCCCAGCTCGATTTCTAGTTTTTTTTTTTTTGGTATCTTTTTTTTTTTTTTTTTTTTTTTTTTTGAGGCAGAGTTTCACTCGTCACCCAGGCTGGAGTGCAATGGCGCGATCTCGGCTCACCGCAACCTCCGCCTCCTGGGTTCAGGCAATTCTCCTGCCTCAGCCTCCTGAGTAGCTGGGATCACAGGCATGCGCCACCATGCCCAGCTAATTTTTTGTATATTTAGTAGAGACGGGGTTTCACCATGTTGACCAGGATGGTCTCGATCTCTTGACCTCGTGATCCACCCGCCTCGGCCTCCCAAAGTGCTGGGATTACAGGCTTGAGCCACCGTGCCCGGCCCACTGGTATCTTATTTTAATGTTTTGTTACCTTAACAAGGAAGTTGCTAATGTCTATAATGTTAAACCCTGTAACATCTTCTGCATAAACATATATACATATAAATATTTTTAGGCTTGCATCACTATTACATATACTTACATATAAATATTCTTATGCTTGAATCATTACTGTAAAGAAAATAATGAAATATTATGATTTGACCAAAGAATTAGAAGACTTGAAGCAGCCTGTCCTAAATTATTGATGTACAAGTGAGAGCCAGAAACACAATCTCTTAATCTTCATTTTGTATTTCATCCAAATGAGTTACTTCTAACAGAAAAGTGTGACAAAATCAATAGATAATGTCCTTACTTAAGCTATATACAATCATAATGCTGAAAAGCGTGCACAAAAAGTATGGAAATTATGTGATCACTTACTCTTACTCAGGATAGGTTCTAAGATATGAGGAAAACTCTTGGTTAATTTATTGTTCTTTTCACTATCCC